CTAATTAGTTTTAGGTTGGAAGCTCATGTAACTTAACAATATATACGATAGAAGTATAAAAAGAACTATCGGTAACAAAATTATCATATTAAGACAAGGGTTCATCCAATGTGATTGTTTCATGAAAATGTGATTGTTTGCCAATTCTTGGTACTCTTAGCTTCCAGATGCAAATATCCCTCTTCGACAAGATCTCAGATACCAGCTTGTCGAACAAGTTATTGTCTTGATGTACCCAGAATTGACCCAACTTGTTCACCAAGTAAGACTCGAACTCTGGAGGGTCTTTGTGTCCGTACTCGGTCCTTTTACTTAGCGTTGGCAAAAAAAACTACTTTAGTTGGTGTTGTCATAATGTAAAAAATATCAAAGTTTCAAATATACTCAAATGTTTTTTCTCTGTCCAAGTTACAAACAAAACAAAACTATCCTGGTTATAATCTAACATTATTGTAATTAGTTTGACTGATATGAAAACTTAATAACAGAATAACTGAATAATAAACTAGCAGAATTAATATGATCGATAAACTGAGAACTGAATAATCTCAAAATACTAAAAAGCTAATCATATATATGAATAGGGAATAACCTTCTCCAGCAACTTGACACATCAGCATTTTAGATTAATTTAGAAGTGACAAGTGGCTAACTAAAATTAAAACAATCTAATAAATATTTATAATTAAATAAATTTCATTAGTTAGATATAAAACTGCATTTTATAGAATATGAAACATCTATTTATTTATGATTTTAAATAATAAAACTAAATTGAATTTGAGCTAAAATAAATTTAAGATATAAAGAAACCAGAGAATACTACTTCTTTTTATTGTAAAAAACGAAAAAGGATTTCTCAAAGCAATTTTTAGCAAAAAAGAAAACAAAATCGATAATGCTCGTGAAACTTTGATGATGAATGAACCATTTACATAACAAACATATATTTACTTAAAAATAAGATATAGTTATAATTTGACGATAAAAGAATATAAAGAAAAAAAGAAAAATAACTATTATTTGCGTGATGTGTGTAATGGTCCTATTTGATGGTATTTTAAAAATTAAATAAAAAGTAATAATTATTAAAATAGAATTATAATTATGTTTGATAGATCTCTCCAAAAATAGTATATAGTGTTATAAATTAATTGATATCATAAACTAAAATATAAAAATATAGTTTTATACAACTATATATATGATATAAAAAACTCAATTATTATATTTGTGAAATAATATTGTTCCTGAGAAAATTACGGATTTTTTACGGGGATGGATGTGTTCGTCCGAGTAGTACAACTGAGCCTCTTAGATTAGGCTTCGAGGATTGAGCGGTATATACTCCCTGGATGAGAAATTTTTTGGGTCCTGCAAACATTCACAGTGGGTGAATCGAGCCTTTGGGAGACCGGAAATAGGTTTCCCTCCCGAAAGTTCTCTGATGCACAATTTAGATTATGTCCCGCAGTGAACAAATAATCAAGAGGGCGGACGGATGGTGATTGCTTTATAGCTTGGATATCCCGTCCAAGGATTGTGATACTCTTCTGTCATTTGGCAAAGGAAAATGTGAAATGTATGAACCATTGAGAGAGTGGAGGTGGAGCTCTCTCTTAATGGGGATATAGTAAAGAGATAGAGAAGAAGTGAATGCTTATCTTAGTTGGCGCTCCTTTGGAGGAACGTTAAAGGATCTTCAGCCTCTCGCCTCCGAGGGATGCTTGGAAGATCTTCGGCCTTTCTTCTCAACTTTGACCTCTTCTTCTTTCCTTATACATATTTTCCTTTCATTTGTCCCATCCGAGAGACGCTTAGAAAGAGTAGATATGTTCACACTCATTGGGAAGTCCGCCATATACCAAGGAACATTTAGGTAGGGAGTCATTAGACAAGCTTAGGCACCAAGTTCATCATTTCGCCCGAGCCTATTATCGGTGTATCTTTCACCTATCGGATACAGTAAAAATGAATTCAACAAATATATTATATTTAAAAAAGTTTTATAAGTATGAAATTCACAGACATATTTTTTTTATAACAAAATATATTTTATTTAAAAAAACTCGCACGTAGGTGCGGGTATTAGTCTAGTATATATTAAATAAATAATTTTTTTCTCTAAACTAGATATAAATGTAAAACGTACAGAATAGTTTATAAAATAGTATATTAATTTTCACTTTTTATTATTCAGTGCTTAGTATTATAAATAATATGTATTTAGTGAAATCACGTTTTCAAAACGTAAAAATGTGAAAAAACTACATACCATTCAATTCATATTCTTTTTTCTTTTTAGACAAGTAGTGGATTACATAATTGAATCAATGATTGAGTTAGCTACTCTATATACGTATTAATTAATGAAAAATATAACTTTTAGATATTTAGTAAAAAAATAATAGCATTAAACCAGGGCATCAAACGATCCTAGTTTTAGGATATGTAAATATTAACCAATATAGGTTTTATAAAAGCCGAGGAAGAAGGAAAATAGGGTTTTGGACATACCTCTCGCTTGAGCCTAAAAATAGGGTTCTAAGCTTTTCTCTTTTTAAGATATGAGGAATGGGCGATCCACGGGACCACCACCGTCAATGATGACGTCACTTCCCGAAGACCTCATCGTGGACATCTTAGCGCGTGTACCGAGATGCAACTATCCAACACTCTCCCTCGTTTCTAAGCAATTCCGATCACTCGTAGAGTCGCCTGAGATATACGCGAGGCGATCCTTGTTGGTCTGCACCGAACACTGTCTCTATGCTGTCTACCATGACAGATACAACGGTGAACTCTATTGGTATATTCTCCGTCGGAAAGACAATGGCGATAGACGCTTGGTCCATATCCCTTGGCTTCCCGCTATGCCTTGGAGTGGAAGAAGCATTGTCGCGTTGGGCTCGAGGATATATGTGTTCGGTGGGAATAACTATGACATCGTATCCATCGACTGTAGATCTCATACGGTGCAAACTCTCCCCAGCATACCAATGCCAATGGCTGTTACAATGGCTGACATCATCAACGGAAAAATATATGTAATTGTAAATAGCTATCCTGATTATGTCAGGAAGGACGTGATGGTGGTGTTCAACACAGAAACACAAAAGTGGGAGGAGCCTGCGATGATAAAGCCAGAGATTGGGCTAGGTGACTCGTGGCGGTATGGCTGTGTGGTGATGGCTGGTAAGCTGTACACGAGGGATTGTTATAACAGCTTTGTTTACGATCCAAAGGAAAATAAATGGGAAACAGAAGAGATGCTGAATTTAAAGAAGTGGGAGAAGGCGTGTGTAGTTGATGACGTATTGTTCTACTACGATTGTAATGACAAGAGTTTAAGAAGGTATGATCCAAAGCAGAGGTGTTGGGGAGTGGTGAAAGGTTTGGAAGATTTGTTGTCTAAGACAAGACTTGCATATTGGTCCAACACTGTGAGTTACGGTGGGAGACTGGCTTTGTTTATCTGTTGTGAAAGTAAAAGACTAATGACGACACGAAATGAGGTTTTGTTTGCGGAGATTTCACTGGAAAAGCGTAAAGAAGGGGAGATTTGGGGTCAAGTTGAGTGGTGTGATCATGATTTCATTCTTAGAAAAATCTCTAGCTGTTATGATTTGATGCAAGAACTCTCTTTTTCATATAAATTGCGTTTTGTTTTTGAAATTGTTATGCCTATGTGTGTGTTTTTAATGTTTTTGTTCTTCTATATTCGTTTTTAACTTAAAACAAGAATCGTTCGGGTTGAAATCTCGGGGCTACATGAAAAGAAAGAGAAATCATCGTTTTCTTATATGATCATGAAACGATCCATAACCAGGCTTACAACAAACACACTAGTGTAGTTCAGTATCAATCATCACCATACGCCTTGAAACAATACCGTTCGCTGTAAGGAGCGTTGAAGAAGAGATCAGCCTCTAACCATTTCGGGTACCGAACAAGATCTCCAGCTAAAAACTGCATATACCTCTTGCTTCCTTCGGGAACAACACGAACCTCTCCTTCTTCTATGTAAACCAGTTGATCCACCTGCCAGTCCCATGGCAGTTTGCACTTGCCCGTCTTCCAAACCGACCATCTCGAAACCCCGAGCTCCTCGAGTCGTCTCTGTGAGACCTTACGTTCCACCTTAACGTTGTATAGCTCCTCCAATGGTTTCTCGGTCTGCATGGATGTTACCCTGAAGGCTCTCTCAACAAAAAGTCTATTTGTTTCCCTGCATTGAGTGATAGAACCTGGGAATGGTGTGGACATTATCAGACTTGCCATGGCTGCTTCTCTTCAAAGTTTGGGACACAGGGTTTGGATCTGCGGATAATATGGAGAAGATACATTAGATCCACAATGAGATTTTCCATAAATATCGAAACTTTGTGATGTTAAAGTCCTTCAACCCCTGAAACAGAGGAAGACGATACAGTAAATGTCTTGTGTACAAGTGAATTCTTTGTAAAGCGTTAAGCTTTACCATCTAACCTCTTGAAAAAGCTTATGAATCCAGAAATTCTTATACACCCATTCGCTAATTCGATTGGAGAACTGAAATTTCCCCCACAACATCGTGAGTGTTTCATTTCCGAATATATCAACTACATGAGCTCTGTTCCAAAACAGAGCTATTCTCCCAATTAATTAATCCAAGGAGAGAATTATCACAAAATCGAAGAAATATGGGGTCGATTAACGGAAAATACATGAAATTTAACCCAGAAAGCCAAAAAAAGTTGTCGAATTCAGAACATAAGACAATTCGAAATGAAGATTCTTACCCGTGGATGGTGAAGATAGTCGACGGAGATGGAGAACTGTGAGTGAGTGTGATTTCTCGCTTCAAAAACCCTAAAACCCCGAGCTAGAGGCTTATCCATTCCAGTTTGATGACTGAAAAAAAGCTTAAAAAGAGAGGATTATACTGAAAATTACAGAACTGATCCTAGTATTTATATATGTTTTAGTTTTCTACCAAAGTTTTTTGTTGTGCTATTTTGGCCCTGTAACGTGTAACATTCTCTGACACATTGAACAAATCTTCCAGTTTTATGATATCACAAGTTTTTATCTCTGGGATTTTCAAAAGTCTCTCCTGGGTTTTATATACCGTCTCTGGATTTTGTGGAGCTCATGGCGGTTTTGCAGATTCAGCAGTTTAATGGATTCGTTAATTGCGAATCGAGGGCTCGCACAAACCGAGGAAGAGGGAGAGCTTCGACGACAGTGTGCGTTCAAACACAAGTGGCTCCCTCTAGAACGCAGGTCAAGCTTTTCTCTTCATTTAGCTTGAATGTGTCCTGTGACTGCTTCAAAAGTTGCTTGCTTGATGAGCGATTCCACTCAATTCTCTGTTTGTCTGCATCCAAGTTTCTGTTGGTTTCCAAGGAAAATGATCTTTCTGGAAAACGGCGTAATTGCTGCTTCAGATGGAAAATAAAAGCTGCGAACTTTATCAAGAGTAGAGATGATTTTGCACTCTGCATTGTGATGGAATCATTAATGGCGTCGTTCATTGATAAGAGTTTGCTCGCATAACTGATTTTCATTGCACATGGAAAGAAAATTTCATTGCTTTTCTTTATCCTGTTGTTGTAGGAGTAGAATCTTGAGAGCCTTTAGCACTGATAACTTTACTATGAGATGTTTTTAGCTGAGTATGAGTTTACTCATTTTCGATATGCAGAGGATAATGGAGAATATATCAGTTGGTGGAGAAGCCGGAGGTGCTGGTGGTGCTTACTCTTACAACGCCTTGAAGAGACTTGACAACATTTGGTCCAACATATGCACTCAACCAACAGGTATTAAGTGTATAACAAACAACTGTTACCATTCATATGAAGGAGATATTCTCTTGGCGATGAGAGTTTTTCCTTTGCAAAACACCTTGCAGGACCGCAAGAAACCCAGAAAATAGTTTCCAGGGTTTCTGGTTTCTCTCAAGACTATGGTATGGGGAATAATCTCGTTGGAACCTTTGACATAGCTGTTTGTGGGGGTACTTTGGGGATCTTCCTCGCCACAGCTTTATGTGCAAAGGGTTTAAGAGTTGCTGTGGTGGAGAGAAATGCAATCAAAGGGGTAAATCTTCTAACTTATGTTGTGGTTGAGATGTGGTTGGAGGAGCTATTGCCAATGGTTTTTTGGTGTCTGGTGATTTAGAGAGATCAAGAATGGAACATCTCAAGAAAAGAGATGAAGGAGCTGATCGAAGTCGGAGTTTTAACAGAAGAGGAGGTCGAAGAAGTAATTGCTGCAAAGTTCAATCCGGTAAAGCTTCTGTTCAGCAAGTAATGCCTTGTTACTCAAAATCCATGATGTTTATGATTATCTTGAACAAATGCAGAACAGATGTGGATTTGAGAATCTTGGTGATATATGGGTTCAAGATATTCTTAATCTCGGCGTTTCGTGAGTCCTGTCTCCTCTTATTATCTGATGCAAAGGAAAAGTTAAAGGCCTTTAAACTCTGTTAACTTCTGAAAGTGATGAATATTGTTTTCCCATTTTGTATATTGAACCAGCCCAGCTAAACTTGTGGAGACTGTGAAACGACGTTTCATCTCTCTTGGTGGAGTTATTTTAGAAGACTGCAGCCTCTCGAGCATCCTTATCTACGATGATTTAGCTGTGAGTTATCTGATGCTTTTCCCTTCGAACATCCTAATATAGAAGAGAATTCGACATATTGATATGAATATGTTTGAACTTTTTGAATGATAGGTTATGCAACTTTCTAAAGGTGACATATTATCTTCTCGTCTGGTCATCGATGCAATGGGAAATTTTTCTCCTATTCTCAAGCAGGTCATACTTTAGCCTAGTAGCATCTCTAATTTTACTTCTCATCCGCATCTCTATATACTTTTTGATTGCCAATTTTTCTTCTGCAAATCATTGATGAGAATATCGTTTTCTTCGACAATAGATTAAAGGTGGTAGAAAGCCAGATGGAATGTGCCTTGTTGTTGGATCTTGTGCTCATGGGTTTAAGGAGAACTCATCCAGCGATGTGATTTACAGTAGTTCATCGGTGACTAAAGTCGCAGATTCCAATGTACAACTCTTTTGGGAGGTAACAAAAGATCTTGTGTTTATTCCCCATACTACACAATTCATATAACGACCAAGAATCGGATTTTAAACTTGGCTGCTTATTGTTGCTTGAAGGCCTTCCCTGCTGGTTCTGGTCCATTAGATCGGACTACGTACATGTTCACTTACACTGAACCTCAATCAACATCTCCGAGTTTAGAGGATTTACTTGAAGAATACTGGAAACTGATGCCGAAATACCAAGTGAGATTCCATCTTTATGTCACATTTTTCATAGAGTTTCTTTCTTTGCCTGATGTTCTTTTGGTGCAGGGAGTCTCTCTTGATGAATTGGAAATACTGAGAGTTGTATACGGAATCTTTCCTACATACCGAAATAGGTACTACCTAGGCATAAAATAAACTTTATTGATGTTGTGTATCTCTATCAACTATGGAAGTTGAATCTCTTATCATTTGATATTATAATTCTGTTTACCAGTTTCATACGATAATACTGCTGCATTCTGACATTATCTAACCCTGTTGGATTGGACATATCACCAGTCCTTTACAAGCCGCATTTGATCGTGTTTTACAGGTGGGTTTTGTTTGTTCACTTGTACATACGCTACCAAGAAAAGCATGCAGCTTTATAGTTCGATAAACTATATGATGATTGATGAAATTTTCTTACAAGCCTTCAGTCTCATTGCAGTTTGGTGATGCTAGTGGTATTCAGTCACCTGTTTCATTTGGGGGTTTTGGAAGTTTGACCAGACACCTTGAAAGATTGTCCAATGGTATATATATATTCACTCTGTGACAGTACACTTGCTTGTCTCCATGTTTCAATGAACAGATCATGAAAATTTTAAGAAACTTTTGACTTTCTGACAATCTTATTCTTCTATTTAACACAAAGGAATCTATGAGGCAATAGATGGAGATTTACTGGACTCGGACAGCTTATCAAAGCTAAATCCTTACATGGTAAAAGCTCTGTGGTTCTGAACAATCTGATTCTTTCTTCCCTGTTCATTAAACTTCACTGAAGCCGTTTGTCTTTTGAACAACAGCCCAACTTGAGCGCTTCATGGCTGTTTCAAAGAGCAATGTCTGCAAAGCAACAACCCGATGTTTCCCCTGGCTTCATCAACGAGCTTCTCCATGTAAATTTCAGTTGCATGCAGGTATGTGCACCTTATTCTCATGTGGAAACTGGGAGATGGGAGCTTCTGAACTCTGATTTCTAAGCAATGGTTTCGTATATGATCTTGTAGAGATTGGGCGATCCGGTTCTTAGACCATTTCTTCAGGATATAATACAGTTTGGTCCACTAGCGAAGACATTAGGCCTTGTTATGCTGACCAAACCTCAGATAATTCCATCGATATTCAGACAGGTATATCGTTCATCCGAAACTCATTGCTTCATCTTTGAGTTTCTTTGGTGATCTCTCCATTTGCTCATGAGATCTGGTTTCTTTGGTGATCTCCACAGGTGGGGATACCTGTTCTGCTCGATTGGTCAGTTCATTTTTTTATGCTGGGATTGTATACATTCCTTTCTGCATACATCGATCCAGTAATAAGGTGAAATGTTTTATGAATCTCTTTTAAGGAATTAACACTAACCGTTTGCTTCTACTGCCACATAACCCGTGTCGTGTTTCCTGAACCTTCTTGATCTGTTCTGTAATTCGTCAGGCCAGCTTTGGAAGAGCAGCCATTAAAGACGAAGTTCCAGTGGAAGAGACGACTTGAGGCCTGGAGATATGGAGCTGGCCTCGATTACGAGTTGTGATGTCCATCTTTCTCAAGAGTGATACCCTCATCAACACTGGCTATTGAGCTTCGATTTCCAGCTTTTTGAAATATTAGAAAAATTATCTTCTTGATGCCATTTCTGATTCAAAAGTTTATTGTATCGTCTTTCCTCCATAGTATATATCTATCTTCACAAACTTCATAAATGGCACACTGGCTATCAAAGATCAAAGCCTTTCAACGCTGTTACTTTGATGATCGACTAGCTAAATAATATATAAACCTTTTTGCTTTGACTAAAAGCTTGATAATTATATAAACCTTTTCACGTAACAAATGTATGTTGACTAGGAAAGTAGAAATTTCTCCAAATGGCCAATGAACGGAAGAATGGTGAGTCTTTCAAACCGAAGGAAGATGCAGCAGCACCACATGAGTCACATCAGATCGAAAACATAGTCTTAGTTGGGCGTAGAGGGAACGGAACAGGGAACAGCGTACTCAGAGAAAAAGCGTTCATCCTGTAAACAAAGATTCAATTATCGATGAAAGATACTATTCAGCTAATCATTGAACATCAACATTACCAGAACCCTCAAGAGTGACTAAAATATCACTAAGTGACTAATTATCAAAGCAACATCCTTAAATGGTCAAGCCCTGTGGTTCTAATTATCAAAGCAACATCCTTAAATGGTCAAGCCCTGTGGTTCTTTCTTTACTGTCGTGAACTACACTTAATTAAGCCCGCTTGTCTTTTTGGACAACATACCAACTTGGGCGCATCATGATGGCTGTTTCAAAGAGAAATGTCTGACAAGCAACAATCGTATGTTTCCCCTGGCTTCATCAACGAGCTCCTCCATATAAATTTCAGTAGCGTGCCGGTATGTTACACACAATGGTCGCTTGATCGATACCAAATGATCTTAATCCAAAAGAAACGTCCGATACATACCTCACCCCAACTCTCTCAGGAATCTTTCTGCCTCGACGTAAACGATTTTAACTACCAACAGGTAGATCTCAGGGTTTACCAGCTCAAACATATCTTAGTTTCAAGGTCGTGTTCTAAGTCTCAGGTGAATGCATGCTTCCAACGAGTGCAGTATAAACCTTATTATCTATTGTATACCCTTTCCTTTTCATCTCATCGTACAATCCAAAAGCTTCGTCTGATTTTCCAGCCTTGGACAAACCCGAGATCATCACCGTGTATGTCACAGAACTCTGGTCCAAACCCTTGGACCTCATCTCGCTAAATAGCCTCACTGCTTCGTCCACGTTATCAGCAATACACTCCCCGTGCATGAGCGACGTGTAGGTATATGCATCCGGATCCATCCCTTTTGCTTCCATGCTGGCCCTAAGTTTACGGGCTTCCTTAACTTTCCCTTGCTTGCAGTACGCATAGATCATCACATTGTACGTGATATCGTTGGGCTCTGCTCCCTTGCTGCTCATCTCCACAAACAGCCTCTTTGCCTCCTCGACGTTCCCTTCTTTGCAGTAAACATCGATCAAATTAGTATAACTAACAGTGTTAAGCCTCACACCACCTTCCATCATCCTGAACAGCCATTGCTTTGCCTCGTCGTACCTTTTTAGTCTACTCAAACAGCTAGCGATGGTGTTAAAAGTGTAAACATCAGCTTCAAACCCTTTCTTCTCCATCACATCGTAAATCGTTAAAGCTTCATCAATCATCCCTTTCCTGCAATACCCATTGATCAATGTATTGAATACAACCTGAGTGATGTTCACTCCTCGGCTTTGCATCTCGTTCATCAGTATCTCAGCGGCACCCATTTCCCCTACTTTACACACCCCGTCGATAAGCGCACCGTAGGTGTGGCTACTCGGCGAAAGACCTTTCTCTGTCAATTCATCAAACAACAAAAACGCTCTTTTCATATTTCCCTTTTTGCAATGCCAACTTATCAGAGAAGTATACGAATGGATATCGGATTCTATTCCTCTCTCACGCATTTCATCGAACAGTTTCTCGGCATCAACCATTTTCCCATTCTTGATGCCCAGTTCCATCAAAAGCGTATACGTAGCCTTGTTATACGCAACACCATTCTTCTTCATCAGCTTCAAAATCTCTTCTACGCCGGAGAAGTCTCTCTGTTTAACGTAAGCATTGATGATGGTGTTGTAAGTATAAGCTTCGGGTTTGATTCCTTTACCAGAGAACTCTTTTATCAGTTTCCTGCTCTTTTCAACTTCGCCTCTTCTGCATAATCCTTCCACCACAATCGTCAATGAGTAAACAGTTATCTTCACTCCAGAATCAACCATTCGCCTGAAAATGCTCAAACAGAGATCAATTCTCCGGCGTTTCTTCGCCGCCACCAGAAAAACAATGCAGGATCTCTCGTCGATTTTCAAACCCTTATCGACCATGTAATCGAAAACCTTTAAACCCTCTTCGAACATTCCGTTATCCACATAAACCCTAAACATCAAATCGAAAACAGTCTCCGAAAATTCAAGCTTTTCTTCGGAAACGCCACAATCCGCCATCGCCGATCCTAAAATCTCAACCGGACGCCCGTAAAACCCGTCGGAAGCAACCGAATTCAGAAGAGACTTCATCTCGTGGAACCTCCGGTCGGAATACAGGCGGTGAGCTAAGGTAACGACCGCCGTGAGATCGGGTTTGAGACGGGATTCGAATGAGCGGAGAAACTTGAAGAAATCGATGCACGATTGGGTACGAAGAGTGGGCTCCGATAGAACGAGGCGGGTTACATTCGAATTCAGGTTGAAGAGAAGCGACGGATCCGATTGGAGTTTCCCGATGCTGGATTTCTCAAGGCACGCCGTGATTCTTATGGCGGATTCTCTATCTGAAATCAAAACCGGAAAAGATCTCTGCTTCGGAGATAAGACGTTGAAGAGTCGCGAGAGTTTAGCAGAAGACATGCTTCCTGTTTCTTTGTTCACGCGGAAGATTCAAACTCTACTCTTCTCTTCACTAACCTTCTCTTTATAACAAAACGGTGTAAAGAGCAAAGTTTGACTATTCAATTTTAATTTAAACATCGAATAATCTTAAGTATTTTAATCGTCCTCTCGGAGATACATGTAACCTTCACAAGTTAGCTGCAAATTAATTAGACATTTATAACAGTTCAAAGTTTTTAACTTTTTAAAATAATTTTTTTTTTTTTCGTAACAACACCTCTTACAGACATGATTGATCCTTGTAGTGTTCATCAAATGTATAAAAGTAGCACTATGCGTTATATCGATACGTATACGACTTTCAATTGCCCTTTTTGGGATTAGAATGTCTTGTGTTATAATTGGTATCAAGAAAACAACTATACCCTTTTTACATTTTCAACTGCATAATTATTTTGTTTATCAAAAGTTGATTTTTCCTATTGTAGAATAAACAAATTCGCATGCGCGAGACACTAAAAGTAATTTTAAGAAGTTATTTGGTGGTTTCTTCTTACCTTTCTTTTTAATAATATGCGATAACCAAAAGTCTCAGTTTTTTTTTTGGTCGAAAATCTTAAGGTTAAAACTTAAAACACAAGCTATAAACTTAAAAACATATCGTCTACATTTCTAAGACAAAACTTGAGAAAATACAGAAAGTGGATTAGAATAGTCAATCTTACAGAGTCATTCTTCAGCAACAACCATAAACCAGAATTTTCAACATCAACCAATGAATGGTTTTTTTCCCATAATAATTAAGCTTGTTTTAACAAATAGTATAACATTTTACCTTTTTCGATCTATATGTTTACAGTTTACTAATGATCGGGTAATTATTGAAAAATAATTTATTGACGTGTAGAAGACAATTTAATAGTGATTGCAGAGGGGAGATTAACTCCAAACATGCTAGGTGGTAGAGGCTGACACTGTAACAGAGCTATTACTCCTATCATCAGGCCTAAAGCAGATGAAATAAATGTTAATAGTCTTTAAACCTTAAAACTTGAGGTGTTTAAAACAAAAGAAAATATTAATACTCGATTTTTATTCCAAACATAGTAGTGTGGTTTACATAATCTTCTTCTCCCGTCTGCGCTAAATTAAACATAAGCTGGACTAATTAACTATAGTGTTAAACAGAAAAACTATGTACAATTTAAGACATCATATTTGTCGACATATATACATATTTTTGGGGCACACAAATGCACAATCACACATCTAACAACATACATATATATATGATCAAATTCAGCCGATCTGAATTGTCAAAACTATGCATACCCCATTCGAAAACCTCAACATCAACATTAAGTTATATGTATATATACTAGTAGTTGTAAGTACATATACATTCATTTTCGCATATATTTTCTCCAGTTTATTTATATGTTGCCGGCGAAGAAAAAAAAAGCCTTTGTTATCGCTTGTTGTGTAAAGGATTTGACCCCGACGGAATCTTTCTCTTCTCCAGCTTGAATTCTCCGGCGCCGGTTACACGTGTGGCATAAGAGTGAAAAAACCCTCTGTCTCTTCCAGAAGGTCCGGAGGAGGTTCTTCGTCTTCCGGCAGCATGAATTCTTGGAGCTTTAGAAAATATAAAAACGAGAGTGAAGAGAATAACAAAGAGGTTAAGAAGTCGAGGCCGAATCATTTTTTGTTTGTTTCTTTGGTATTCTTTTTTTGCTTTTTATCTTCTTTCTCTCAAGAAAGGCGAGGAACTGAGGATATTAAAACCCCAAACAGAAATAAAAGGGAGGAGAAGAAGAAACCTTTTTGAAAATAGATGGTTGCGAGTATGAGAGAATTTAATTGATGCACAAACTTCCATATGGTGTTGTAAATTGTTGCAATTATTTATTTATTCATGTGCGGACATGGATGGTCCACTACATAAAGTCTCCTCACTTTTTTATATGATTTTTCATAAAATTTAAGAACTTCATATTTTGGTCTACACAAGTTTTTTAACCCGAGTTTCTGTCTACACAGTTTTTGGCTATACGCCATTATGTGCATGTTTTTAGTTTTTACCTGTTTGTACTTTCTATTGAAATCTCAATTATTATGTACTTGTTCTTTAGAAAAGAAATCGAAAACAGAAATCCAATTGAAATAAAGAAACAACAGAAGATGAAAAAGCCTGATTAGAAGTTTATTTTTCATATAAATATAAATATGGATGAATATCAATTGTGGTAATCATCTAGAAATGGCTTTAGCTCGGTTTATAAGAGGGAAGTAAGTGATTCTCTTTGGGAGCTTTTGCTCTAGATTTCTGTTTGATTTTAACAAAGCATATACGTAAAATATGTCACCATTAAAATAGAAACCTAGAAGAAATACAAAATACTATTGTAACTGAAAGTTGAAACACAAAAAAACTAGAAGAAACAATTCGTCTTAAGTAGTAAGTGATTTTGTTTTTAAAACTGAAATAGCTCAACCGGTAAAATTCATGATATCTCTTGTGTAATTGAATATTGCTCTGTATGAAATTATGCATATGCAAAATGATGAAACAATTCAAATAGCTGCATTATATATTGTGTGTATATTTCAAGAAGAGAATAGCGCATGAAAGACAAAGTTACTTGTAAAGACGAATTATTTTCCTACTTAGCTTCATAGTATTAGAACAAACAAAAAAACTAAAAGTCAAACTAATGAATGTCTGTAAGAAACAACAAAATCTTTGATTTAATTTAATAATCAAAAATTGAAACACCCACTAAACTTCTGATGACTTTCAACTGGACTATAGTCAATGTACATCAATAACATATTTTGTCCTTTAAAACACTTATAGTTATACAATGGAATCAATGGCAAAGACCAACAATCATATGGACAAAGTGTAATTATGCTGCATCACACCGCAAAAGAGATAGAAATAAAAAAGCAGTCATGGGCCGAGATGTTGGGCCTTGAAATGCCGAACCTTCCACTCGGGTCTCATATGAACCGCCCAACCTTCGTCTTCATAAAACCAAATCTCCATCCCAGATTCCAAGGTTTTCGAGTATTCATTCATCCAGCAATCGAGAGAGTAAGAGAGGAATTCGTAGCGTGAAAGGAGATTGAATCATAAGCTATGGATAGAGAATGGGGTTCGAAGCCAGGGAGCGGAGGCGCCGCCTCGGGCCAGAACGAGGCCATCGATCGCCGTGAGCGTCTCCGTCGTCTTGCTCTTGAAACCATAGACCTTGCCAAGGATCCCTACTTCATGCGAAATCATCTTGGAAGGTGTGTTTCTTTATTCTTGTTTACTGTGTATATGAACTTGTATTATCTATACTCGCGCATAGACATTGTAGCAGAGTCCATTGTTGGATTATTAACCGGAGATTTACAAGAATTCACCGCTTTATCATGCAACACTGATTTAGGCAGCTCAGCTATATTCCTGTTCCGATATGAATTTTGATATTGTATGCATATGTGAGCATGATAGTTCTGGGTTTTGATTTGATTGGTGTTTCTTCAATTAGGGTTTTATTTTTATCGTCTTTCCCGATTTCACTGATTAAACCTTGTTTTTATGGTTTGTGAAGCTATGAGTGCAAACTATGTCTAACGCTGCATAACAACGAAGGAAACTACTTGGCGCATACTCAAGGTAAGAGGCATCAGACCAACTTGGCCAAGAGAGCTGCTCGAGAGGCCAAGGAAGCTCCTACACAGCCACAGCCTCTCAAGCGCAAAGTCTCTGTTCGCAGAACAGGTAAATTAACTTTGTTTATATGTTGGGAAAGTGATTGGTGTAGAAGTTATTATCTCTTATTGCGGCTTATGTTATTGCAGGATTGTTTATCTTTGCTTAATATTCAGCTTTAAAGGTTTGGTTTGATAATTTCTCCATTGCTTAATGTCAGCTTTAAAGGGTTTGGTTAATTTAACTATCCATGTCTTGTGTATATGTTGTTGCAGTGAAAATCGGTAGACCAGGGTACCGAGTTACAAAGCAGTACGACCCCGAGTTGAAGCAAAGATCCCTCTTGTTCCAAGTACGCATATAAATTGCTAACTGTTGAACTTCATTTACCATAATCATCAGAGACTTATCTAGAGTGAATTCTTAATGTTTCAGATTGAATATCCTGAAATAGAGGACAACATCAAGCCAAAACATCGTGTGATGTCTTCATATGAGCAGAAGGTTGAACCTTATGACAAGAGATATCAGTACCTTCTATTTGCAGCTGAACCATATGATATCATAGCCTTCAAGGTATGTCTGCTTTCATTCCACAGTTATCTCTCTCGATTTACATTTCTCTCTCGATTTACATTCATTATGGATTTATTGGCTCTAGTATCTCAGCATACCTTACGTGAAATTTGTGTTGATATTGATAGTTATGTTTCACATGGGTTTCAGGTTCCTAGCACAGAGATTGATAAGTCAACCCCAAAGTTTTTCTCTACATGGGATCAAGACTCTAAGATGTTTACTGTAAGTTCTTCTCATTATATAAACCTCATAGCTTTGTTTTATTTTCCCGGAGTTTTTGGTTTTGATTGAGCAAAATAATGACAAAGAAACTTGTGATAAATACAGCTGCAGGTGTATTTCAAGCCGAACAAACCAGAACCAATCAAGCCTCAGCCCAACGCTGGAGCAAATGGCCTTCTGCCGCCGCCACCACCACCACCACCTCAAGCTCAACCGCCTCCGCCTCCTCCATCTGGTTCACTGCCACCGCCACCACCTCCGATGGCTAATGGTGTTCGGCTCATTCCTCCGCCTCCACCACCAGTTGGAGGTTTTGGACATCCGAATATGTGAAATTGAGAAACTTGCGATGTTAGAATCAACTATAAGCTGTTTTGAACACAGTAGTGTCTTATCATGGTCTATCTTAAGAGAGTGTACTGAAAAACCAATCTGTTTTGACATGGATTCTTAAAAGCATATCTATATGATTTGCACATGTATTAAGTAGCGGTTATTGGTTCTTGTATTTTGGTGGATTTAGAAATCTTCTTTGGATTTGATAAATTTATTGATTTCAAAATCAGCAAAATAGAAAAAAATCAAATTCACTTAAATACCAAGGTTAGATCTTGTATTTGAGTCTTTGTATTTTAGTCATGAAAATTCTTTCAAATCCATTTAAATTCAATTAAAACTCAAATCTTTATAATATTTAGATTTTGAAATGATAGAACTAATAACACTGTATTTTATTATGGATTTTAAAATTATTGAACCAATAACACTGTATTTTAATATAGATTTTAAAATATAAGAACCAATAACACTGAATTTGGTTTGAATTATCAAGTTTTGTTAACATGTTTGATTCTTTGTTTTTAAATGAATTGTCAATTTGTTACTCGGTTAACTCATAACCACTATTTAACCGAATCTATCAATCCTAAACCGAGCATTGCACATTTATTTGAGAGAATATTATGTTGAAACACACTTTTGATAAGTGTATTATCAAATTAAGGCATTTAATAATTTTAACACACTTTCAATAGATTAAAAGACTTTATTACCTTTTTTCTTCTATTTCATTAAATTGAAGAATTTTTAAAAAAGCAGTAACATAAAATTTTCTACTTTTCAACCATCTCGTCGGTATTTCTGCGTTTCTCAAAAATTGACTAATAAAAATTATAAAGTTAAATTGCCATTCTCCAAGTTCCATCACTGGTTAATCAAATTCTCTTCACTCACCAAATATTCATCGATTTTTAATTTTTAATCGGTAATCAGAATATCCAACCTAGATTTTTCATATCTCATCTTGCAACTTCAAGTTAGACTCCAATATGAAAAGTAACTCCTAATTGAACCTCTAGAATTGGAATTTGAATTCAAAATTTAGGGTCTTCGATATTAAGAAAAAAACTGAGATTGTAACTAAGCATGGATGGTCAAAACTAGTTGATAATGGATAATAAAATATGGATGACAAAAACTGATTGTGGACGAGCAATAATGAATGGATGACTAGTAATAGATGACCATTTTTTATCCATTTGTTCTTCGCATAGTTTTCAGATCCAATTACATTTATGCATCCACCATTGCTCATCCATTTGTTTTAATAACTGGTCTTGTCATCGTTCACTCTGATTTGCTTTCATATCGCATCCACCATCTCGCATCCAACTATAGCATTCCCTCATGTTTACTTGTCATCTTAACATTTCCACATGCTCATCACATCCGGTGAATCTATATAGGACGTCCATATAGAGCATCCATATGTAACATCTATATATAACAACCATCTACAACATCCACGCATGTCATCCATATGGATGACCATCAAACACATCCATAACATTCATCCATCGAAATTTTCCTACATACTCTTTCCTCAAAACATCCATTCATATATACGATCAAATTAATTGCTATGTCTCAAATTTCTATCGTGCAGGCCTTGACCACAATACGTCTTTTCACCAATCCTATGTACATATGGATAACAGGGGATGGATACATGTCCACAGTTGTAGTGTGAATGGTAAAACTTTGAAGAAAGACATCCACGACATGCATCCAAAATAGATGCAAATATATTATATGTATATGTGGATGGGGGCTGATGGATACATGCCCATAGTTGTATTATGAATAGCAAAACTTTGAAAGGCGTCCACAATAAACGTCTAAACCAGACGCAAATATAATATATGTACATATGGATGGAGTGAGATGGATGCTTGTTCACATTTATATGGTGGATGGCAAAATTTTGAATAAAAACATTCACGCTAAATATCTAAATTGGATGCAAATATGCTATATGTATATTTGAAATGTATTACTAGATCATAACTAATTTTTTTAACTCGGATCATGTGTTTAAATTATTGTATACATCATCAAAACACTATCTATAAAACTCCATTCATATTCACCCATCCATATGAAGTCAAACGATAAATGAGCAAAAGTAAAAAATGATATAATAGGAATTAACAAAATTAAATAGTGTCTAAAGTGCCTTCTAACCACGAGTAATCCCAATGGAGAGCTTTGAGTGTCTAAAACAAAACATCTTAATAATAAAAATGAATAAAAAATAATGAAAAAGTCTTAACAAAATAGACAAAGTGTCTAAAATATGATATTTTTGTTGAATTAAGACACCCAGTATCTAAAAGAAAATAATAAAATATTTTTAAAATCTTCTTAATAAGTTTTTCATTGGAGTTGGTCTAAGTGTCTTATTTTGTAAACACTTTCTCAAAGTGTGTTTTTATGTAAATCATTCTTTATTTTATTTCTGACTCCGATGACGGAAGGAAGAAAAGAAAATAATGATGACGTGGAGTGTCCCACGCCACTTACATTACGCACATTTCAAAAGTATCACTGAAATTCAAAATAGGGAAGCGGAGGGAAAATCGCAATCCCTAATCCCCAAATCACTTGAATCCTCGATCCACGAAGCTCCGTTGAACCCAACGGACGGATTTTCGTCGTCTCAAATTCTCTAAAACCAAACCGTACGATCTCTCTCACTTGTCCAGCATACTTTTTCTCGTCTACGAGCTTCTTCTGCCATGGAGGAATCCTTAACTCCAAACCCTAAGCAACGGGCAATTTCGACGGCGACTCGAATCCAAGCTCCGACAAGTCCGTTCTTCTTGGGATCCAACGATGACAGGCTGGAACGGGAGCAAGCTCGTGCTGCCAGAGTCGCCGCTAGCCGTCGCAAGTCTGTGGTTTTCGCTCGTGGGCCTCAGCCTGAGAAGGAATCCGATCCGTGCTTTGACAAACAGCAGATTCTCGAGTTGTTCCAGAACTGCATCAAATTAGCCAGTGAAAACGTAAGTAAAATTGACTTTGTCTCTTTCAATAATCATGAGAAGATGAAAAGTCGTGGCCAAATGTTTCTTCTCTTATAATTTGCTCTTGGTTAATATGCTTCTGATGAAATTTATGCTTTTTAGAGTAATATAAGTAGTGTTTCAGTCAGTATAATCTCTGTTTACAATTGAATTCACATAAGTGGTATTGGTGGAGGTTTCTTCATTGTGTTCTATGGTTTTGTTTAACAGAAAATCAATCAGAAGAACACGTGGGAGTTGAATTTGATCGACCATCTTTGTGAGATTATTAAAGTTGAAGATGAGAACAATGCAGAGACAAATTTTCAAAAGGTAAAGCTTCCCATTTCCTTCATCTTTGGCTTCTACAAAACGCTGGCAGGACTTTTAAAAATACCCAAAAAAAAAAAAACCAAAAGGAGAACTAAGATATGTTTATGTTCGTCCAATGCAGGCAAGTTGCACCCTTGAAGCTGGAGTTAAGATTTACTCAATGAGGGTAGACTCAGTTCATTCAGAAGCTTACAAGGTCTTGGGTGGAATTACTCGAGCTGGCCAAGATGACAGCAGAGGTTAGATCGATATCTTACACGCGATATACTATGTTATCTTTTGCACTTGGTTAAATCTGCCAGTGTAATTTCTTAACAGAACATATAGCTTTGTTCATTTGTGGAAATGATCAAAAAGAGAACATCTGAAGAACGCAATGCTTTAAATTTCTAATTTTCTTGAGCTCTAATTACTAACGAAGGTACTGCAAGTAAATATTTACCTTATGTGTTTTTGTGATATTTCTTCATGAGCTTAGATAACGAGGATGCTGCTGGTTCTGTAGAAAATGCAACTAACCAAAAGAAACCGACAGAGAAAAAGGTAGTTCATACAGAAATCCCAATTCTGGATATAGTAGATGACACTACTTACTGATGAGTTTTAACCTCCAGATATCGCCTTTATCAACACTGGAACCATCCTTTGATACCCTTAACGTCAAGAAGTTCGACGGTAATTTCTTAACTGAACTACCTTTGTCGTTTGTGAAATGTAAGTTCTGTACGATAATGTTTCGTATTTTTTACAGTGGCATTTGCAGTGGATCCCCTTTATCATCAGACTTCAGCACAGTTTGATGAAGGTGGGGCAAAGGGTCTGCTGCTAAACAACTTAGGAGTCTATGGAGGGTGTCAAGTTCTATTTGATTCACAAGAAATCCCTGGAAAGCTTGTTTCGTCTGCAAATCAGCAGGATAAATCAGAAACAATCGATCTATCCTTTGCTAAAGGTCTGGCTTCATTGGCTGATATGCCTCGCTGTACCATTGTACTGGTTTTTGTTGCACTAATATTTCTCTGATGTCGTGGTTAAATTTGTAGAATGTGTGGAGAAAATGGTGATAAACATGCGACAGAAGGATGAGATTGTACCATCTCTTCGGTCTATAATCAATCAATTTGATGAAGAGAACCAAAGACCATCTGATACGTTTTCTTGTGGCCAGAAGACGACTGAGTCCTTTGATATATCACATGGTAACGAAGCTGATGATGATGAAGGATATGATAACTTTGGAACTTCGTATGATTATGAGGGTCAATCTGGTGCTGCTGAGGAAAACTTTGGTCTCAATGATCCAGAACCAGCATATTCAAATTTTCACGAGGTTCTTACCATCACTCTTCTAATAATGTTCACTTGTTCTTCTTTGGCACCCTGAAAACCTGATCTGACGTTTTCACTTTGCAGGAAGTTGAACCAGCCTCACTGCAAGACATGGATTCAGATGACAGATTTGAGAATGTTGATGACTATCTCTTTTTGTCTTTGGGAATTTCATCTAAGCAAAATTCTTGGGCAGGTCCTGATCACTGGAAGTATAAAAAAACAAAAGGTATGCGCTTATATCTCCAGCTTCAAGCAATAACATAAGGCCTCATTTTTATCTAGTTTCGCTGAGGGTTTACATTCTCTTGCAGGTCCAGATGATCACCCTGCTTCAGAAAATGGATCTTCTCCACCAGCAAAGAAAACCAGGAAAAAAAAGCAAGTAGAGCCTGAACTAGATTTTACAAAAGCTTTGGAGGAAGAAATGCCTGATATTTTTGCCCCTCCAAAAAACTCAAAGTCTTTACTTCTTCCAGCAAGTAGAGCCCCTTGTCAAACAAAGCTTCCAGAGGATTGCCACTATCAACCTGAGAATCTAGTAAAGCTATTTCTACTACCGAATGTTATGGTATGGCTTGCTAAACACTGACACGTCACGACTTTCTAGTTTTTTTTTTATCTGTTCTTTCTCCTATGTGTCATATCTTCTGAAGTAACTCTTCTGAATGGTAACAGTGCATCGGGAGGAGGAGAAGAAAATGCTCAGGTAACAATTCCAGTCATTAAGATAATTATCACTCTTGGTGTCTTCTTCAGTTTATGAGGCACATACCAGCGTCTTTTGATATATTGACCGTTATAATATGTACTTTACGAAAGGAAGATGGTTTCAACAAATTTGTTTTGTTATGTGCGTATTACAGGTGAAACTACAAAGCAACAATATGATGATTATGAAAATGCGGAATCCTGGGGAAATGACAATGCGTATGATGATGGCCCATTTGATAATAATGGAAATGATCAAAGTGATGCAGAGGATATCAACTCGTTAATCTCTCAGCCACGCCAGGTATGAATATTGATCTGCATATGGTTATGGCGTTACAATCATTTCAAAAGGGTGTACCTTTCTATGGTTAGCAAAGATAACACCGTTGTAATTGTCCTACACAATTCATGCTTTAGGTCAACAAAATTGAGGTTCAATACGATAAAGCTTCAAAACAAGTTGATGTGCAAGTGCTAAAGGAAACTCTTTGGGAGTGTCTTCAGGAATCTCCACAACCACCAATTCAGGTTTAACTAATATAAACATATCTCCTGCTTTCTGTTTCTGTTATTGTAAAACTACTCGGAGAAGCTCTCTTATGATCTCCGTGAGACATGCTTGTAGTTTACATCAGCCATGTTTTGACAACATACGATCTTGACTTACGCACACATACCTAACTAATTTAACATGCTTGGGGATATCATCTTCTTCCTCGTCTTTTTCTGCCCAATTCTGTGATGATATTGACAGAATCTGATTGTGGCAGGATGAGGAACACGAAGAAGAACCACTTGAAAGTCGATCTTTTAAAGAGCTATTGGCTAGCTTTCCAGATGATTGCCAAGCGGCTGGGAGCACCCAAGACATCTCACCACATTTATGTTTCATCTGCTTACTGCATTTGGCGAATGAGCACAATCTCAGCCTCATTGGCTCTCAAGACTTGAACGATCTTACAATACACCTTCCCTGAAAGAAAAGTGAAGCGAGACCAAGAAGAGAAGAAGCCCCAAGTGTTTTATGTTGCTAAGCCTACTAAGTTTTATGTTGCTACGCCGTATTAGTTTTATGTTGTAGTTCAGCTTCAATGTACTGACTTGATTTGTAATAACTTTGTTCAAAATCAATTAATCCTTTGTTGTTTTGGTACATTGTTTCATTCCATCTGATTGATTTATCTCCATCAGAAAACTAAAACGACAATAGTATATATCAAATTCACAGTTACACAGAACCTGAAATGCATTTTTCGTGTGATAAGGATACAAAAACTTAGGTGTGTCTCTAAGAAACCTGAACACTGCTTTTGGATTTAACAGTTGACTTGGTGGCTCCCTCTTTCCAACCTTTTTGACGAGCTCGCAGTTCCCATGTAGAAGTCAGCTTCTTCTGCTCCACAAGTGCCTTTTCCGCCTTCTCTCTTGCTTCTTCACAAGTCTCCATACCTGAGTTGCATTTGTCTGCCTCCTTTTGGTAAGATGATGCTACCTTCTTGGCCTCTAGCAGACCCGTGTCTACTCGTTTGTGTTTCTCCATCGATTCTGCTTCACGTTGCTTCAGTTCCTCTGTCAAGAGCTCGGCGTAGTTCTTCTCTGTGTCTTCGTTCACCTCTGGATCATGCTTTGCACAATCTGCACATCGAAAGACAAAAGGTGTTTCTCGTTTACTAAAAAAACATAGACAAGAATATATCTAATGCTAATGATGATTACAGAAAGTGACCGAGAACTCACCTCCAAAAGATCCATTGCTGAGTCCTGCAGGAAAGTAAAAAAGGATTAGGCGTTTTGTTTTTGAATGACATGTCCAGGGAAGTAGATAAGGTAAAGTGAGAACTCCGTAAATAGTAAACAAGCAATGAGATTACATACAAGGCATTGTGAACAACATATCTGATATCTCAACCTCCATGAATTCATTAGAGTGAATCATATAAACCAGATGCTCAACCACACCATCAGTCAGATCTCAAAGGCTCAAACTTGGTAATTAATTTGTTTAAAACAAAGAAAAATCATCTGCAAAACTTGAAATCTTTATGATCGAAAGTATAGCCTCAGATATCATAAAAACTTATCATTGATGATTACTCATCGACTCGATAAATTGGAGAGAAACCATGAAGTCTATGCATTATCTCATGAGGTAAAGCTCACTGACACAATCCTAGTAGATTAGATCTAACAGAGTTCAAACATAGTTGGCACAATAGTCTATCTGCATAGAGATTCAAACTCAATCCTAATCAAGCTGGAACATGCGATCTGGGTAATCCAGCTACTGATGATTCCTCCTTTTCTCAGCGAAAATCAGCAAACTTTACATCCGATCTAGCAAGATCCAATCAAGGGGAAACACAAAGAGGAAAACTTGGTGTGTGTTTTTGTTACCTTTGGGGATGATGAGAAGAGGCAGAGAAGAGCAGTCGCAGACGCAAGGAGAGCAAGAAGATGCCGAAGCGACCAAGGCTTCGGTGAGGTGCCAGTAGAGCGGTGGACCAAGTATGTAACCGATCATGCTAAGCGCCAGCAAAGCCAGTCCGGCTTTTAGCGCCGCCGTGTGCTTCGCCATACGAGATCCGGATGCGTGTGGGATTTTCAAAAAGATTTCAAATTCGAGCTGGGATTTGCTTGAATTTAGCTGTTGCAGTGTGGAAATTTGGATTCGAGACTATTATTGACTATACATCTCGCACTCGTTTTTTATTTGTCGGTGGTGTTAAATACAAATGATTCAACGTGTTTGTGTGTGTGTAACGGCGACTTCATAAGAAAATGTAGAATATTTAATTTCATTTTGTTGGAATATATTTATTTTTGTTGGTCAAAGAAATTTCATTAATTACATTGTGATGATATGTTTGTTTGGTTTGAAGTAGGGGTGGGCACAAAAACTATAACTAAAAAAACCAAACCATATGGAACCGAAAAAAGTGATATGGTTTGGTTATGGTTAAACCTAAAGATCCGTTTGGTTATCAATTTTTTATAGTTTTAGTTTAGGTTTGGTTTGGTTAAAAACCATCAAACCAAAATATTTTTTCGGTTTTTAAACTAAATTTTAAATTAGTTATATTTTTCTAGTTTCTTAATTTAGTTTAGGTACATATTTTATTATTGGGCTTAGTTATCTTTATAATTTACTAGGCATATAACTCGTGCTACGCGCGATCCGTATTAATATTTTAGTTTAATTTTTTTAGCTACTATATTTAAAATTATTAAAACTATAATATATTTATAAAAAATTTCATTTATATAAGAGAATTTAATATATATTGTATAATTTATCTTATTTTTACTTATAAATTTTAAAAAACTATTAGGTAAAATAATAACAATGACACCTATCGATTTATTAAACTTTGACGTACATATACATCTGATTTAGAGAAATAATCTTGCTAAGATTTTGGTATTATTTTCTGTTTTCCATAGAATTTCTATAGTTCTTTTTTTCTTGAAGGTTTATGTGTTCAAATATTTAATTTTTTTATTGAAAATTCTTATTGATGTTGTGTACCACTGCATATATAATTCATGATTCATGTTGATTCGCATTTAATTTTGTTAGGAAGCTGTAATGATCATGCAAAACAATTTTTCCTTTTCCATCATATCTTCCAAGAGTTTTATGTTATATTTTTATTCAGTTTTTATTGTTTTAATTGTTAAATCGAGTTGTTGTAGATTTTTTAAATTGATAATTGATAATGATTACTATTTTTTTATACATGTATTGTTAATTGTTAGTTTTTATTTAATTTTTAAAATTTTAAATCATATTAACATTTTCTGATATAATAAATATGTTGATTTGAATCAATCAAATTGAATTTACTTTTTTGTTGGACATAATTTGTTAAATTAATTTTTAATATTTTAATTATAATAATTTTTGGTTTGATTTAAAAGCTGATGTGGACCAATTAAATCAAGTTTTCCGTCCTAATCATACTTAACATTTTTTTATTTAACGAATATGCTGATGTGGACCAATCATATCGAGTTTTTAAATCTCATGTGGATACCCTAAATGCACTATGCCATCAACTTTTATATATTATATGATTAACTTAACTCATAAATTTAAAATATAATATTTATAAAAAATATCTACATATAAATAATAAATTAAACCTTAATTTTTCAATAAAAAACGTGATTAATTCTTTTTTCTTCACATTCAAGTCTTCTAGTTCTAGTTCCAAGGTTATAGGTATTAAATTTTAATCTAGATTTGTTTATTGTTTTATAATTATTGAATATGAAAGATTTGATAATTTGTTTGTTTCTCTGTTTTAAAATCTGTCCTTATTGATGAATTTGTTATGATTTAGATTCTATTTTTTGAACTTTTTTTTCACTCATAGCAATTATTATTATTATTTTCATTAGTTTGAATCAAATTTTTTTGTAATAGTATAATTTTTAAAAAACCGAAACCAAACCATATCAAACCGAACCATAAAAAACCAAACCATACTGAACCAAAATATATATGGCTTTTACATGGTTTAAGTTTTTATAAAACCGATAAACTGTAAAACCGAAAAAACCGAACCGAAACCAAACTAAAAACCGAAGTGCTCATCCCTAGTTTGAAGTTTAGTAAACTAGTTGGTTTATAAAAAAAAAAATTAGATGGTTTTGCATATTTTGAGGTAAAGGAGAAGAAAGAAGAGGAGGAAGAAGAAGTTTAAGGCAAATGAACTGTTAAGAAGTTAGAGCTTAAGGAGATGTATATTGAACTATATACTAGAAATAAGTAGTCAAGATTCTTATTTACTTTTCTATAATCCAATCATGTGTTTCCTGATTATGGCATATATGATATGAGGTTCGTTTATATGATACTTTTATCTCATATACGAAACCAAAGCTGTTGGGTACTTAACCTGCAACATCATGGCCACTGTATCCGGAGCAAGATCTCAAAATTGTTCCTATGCTGTCATGGGAGAAATGATAGACAAGATAGTCCTCAGTCCTCAGTCCTCAATTTTGGTTTTCTAAATTATTAAATTTGGTTTTTTATGTGAATTTTAATATATTTCTATATATATTTGTTGGGATTACTAGCTAATACGAATTTAAATTTTCTTTTGCATAACATTGATTGATTCTAAAGAAATTTATAATATATAGCAAGTGGCAATATCATAGAAACAAATCAAAATTTATAAGCAGATGAGATAATTATTAATTACATATATCGTTATTTGTCACAATACGATAAGAAAACATAAAGATAAACAAAGAATAAAAAGAAAAAAAAATCTCAGCTTATCATATTATGAAATATAGAAAATTTTATGATATTATAATAAGAAAAATTGAGAAATTATTTTTTTTTTATATATATTCGTTAGGACCACTAGTTAACGCGAATTTGGAAAAATATCTGCATAGCATTGATTGATTCTAAAGAAATTTAGAATGCATAGCAAGTGGCAATACCATAAAAAACAAATTAAATTTTGAAAATAGATGAGGTAATTATTGACCAAATACTAATTATCAAAATAAGATAAGAAAACATAAAGATAAACGAAGAATAAGAAGAAAAATAAATTTTAGCGTATCATATTATGAAACATAGAAATTAAAAGAAAAACAAAATTTTAAAAATCGTAAAAACCGATCTAACGATATAATCCCGAGAAATCGTTTAAGTGTAGATAAATAAATAAAGAATAACAGTTGAATGTTTTATAGAGTATCTTTATTAAGAATTTTTTTTAATAATAAAATATAAGAAAAAATAAAATGGTGAAAAAAATGAATTTGGTTTTCAATTTAAGAGATTTGAGAAATCTATGAAAGATTTTTGGAACACTTGTCTCTCAGTGACCTGGTTCAATTTTTTTTTTTGAAAACTAAGATTTAATTATGTAATTAAATTGGATCAAAATTATTATTATTTTATTGTTTAGTAAATCAGTTTAAAAGAATTTGCCAAAGGCAATCCAACTATAAAATGCAGATAAATTTTCAACTATAGTCTTTTGTGCTGTTTTTTTGCCTTTTGACAATTTGGACCATATGTTATTCTATAGACAAAGTGGACAGACCTATTTGGATGCAGTCATATTTGGCAATGGGCATATATGACTCGGACAAGCTCAATTGACAGCTCTAATAAGATGTCCATCTTTGTCTGTCATAATAAGATGTCATGTTCATTTGGACTCGGACAAGCTCTAATAAAAGGTTTCTTTTCTAAAAGTCCTAGCGGCTAAACCAACTAAGACGACGTCAAAACCAGAGCTTCTTCAAACTGTTCATATATAGACTAAACAACATGAAACTCTGTATCTAAATAGCCTATTCCTATTTTTATATATTTTTGGTCTCCTTCTGTTCCTGCAGGTGGAAAAGATGGTGATTATAATCAAATGAGCAGTATAGTCATCAAGTTGCGAATTAAGCAAAACCTTTCTCCCTCTGGAGAGAAAATAAACAAAAATACTAGAAAGGGGGAAATGACAAAGAGATGGAAAATGGGTTCAAAATGTATTCCAAAAGAGAGAAAAATATTGAAAGAGAGTATTAAGAGTCATCCGAAAGAGATTAAACCAAACAACAACAAACGGTTTCTGCCTTATTAGTTATTACTTAGCGTTATGCCGTAGTAATAAAGTCTTTATGGCATTGTTTCGTTCTGTTTTTTTCATTTCTTCTTTGAAAAAGACATGTGTTTACTGCAACTTCATAGCTTAGCTATTCAGAATCTGAATCAGCTGCATCCGGTAGTTTTCAGTGATCGGGTCCTCCTGTGAACAAAAAAATAAAAAACAGAGAAAAACACTCAGAATCTTGACTAATTTTCCTGTATTAACCAAAACCATACGGAGCACAAACATTAATGGAAGATTTCAATCTTACCGCAAGTAAACGAGCGAAGGTCCCGTCGAACAGCATGAAAGGAAGGCTGTGCCTTATTCCATCACGAGCCCTAATGCATACAAAAAAATAATAAAATCAAGTTGTTGTTTGCTTTAAGAATAAAAAAAAATCGAAAAGATCATAATAAGTTGTAGTGGAAAACCTGGATCTCTGAGAGAGACTGACGTAGCAAGAAACAATTAGATTGAGCATGCTGGAGGAAGGTTTAGCCATGGAGGAAAGGTAAACAAGCAGCTTTTTGAGCAGACCGTCAATGGCGAAAAACCGATCAGGCAAGACGCAGCAGTACTTAATCCCCTCCTCAGTCGACAGGATCTTGTTCATTATGAACACAGCAAGCTGAAGAAAAGTGTGTTATTAGTTCGAAAGTGCTTTCTTTCTTCTCAAGTTATAAAGTTAAAAAAAAAAAATGACTAGAAGCGGGAGAAAGAAACATACAGTTTTCGACTCTGTAGAGCCAATCTCAATGGGTTTAGTGCAATACTGTAAAGCACCTGTCTTCATAAGGTAACGAGTAGAAGCTTCGTCTACAGGCTGTAAAAAGATAAGTGAGGATGTTACAAAAGTATTTCAAAAGCTTGCGTGACAAGAAAGATATGTTGTAAGAGAATATTGTATGTACCTCCTTCAACAAATGAGCAATGACACCCAATGCAGCAACCCTTACGGATTCAAGAGGCTTTCCGACGTAACCAATGTCCATCAAAGGATAGAAATACTGTGGCATGGCAGCTTCAACAAACCCAACATAAGATATGAAACTTCTAAGACAAATGTAACATGATATAGCAAATGGAAAGATACAATGGTGTGTTGCAATGAAGGAGAAAGACATACCCCTAAGGAAACCGGCTCTTGTCTCCGGGTGATCAGCAATGCACTATGAACAGGAAAAACGATGATAACATCACAGATACAATGTAAGCTGTTATCAAAGAAATGGTTCTTAAATGAAGAAATGAGAAAAATGTGAGACCAAAACAAAACCTGGAACAAAAGCAAAATGTTGTACACTCGACGATGCACACCTTGCTGAGAGAAAAAAGCTGGACGCGAGAGGTATGGGTAGATTCCCAAGACCTCCTGAATAGATTTAATGAAACTTAAAGTGAGTATCACAAAGAAAGAAAAAAATTACAACAAAAGATGGTAAAATCTAGAAGGATATTATCAATCTAAAGGGTTTAAAATAGACAAAACATATTAGCATTAGTCATCTGTCAAACCAAAGTAGTCGGTACTGAACCTGCAACATCAAGGACACGGTAAAGTGAGTGTTCCATAGCAGCAGGGGAAAGATCTCAAAAGTGTTCCTGTGCTGCCATGGGAGAAAAGATAAACAAGTGATAATATAAGTTTTTAATATTACAAAAAACATTATAAGTAGTTATCATTAACAAATACTACGGTTGTGGCATTTCAAAATTAAAATTTTTGAATATAATTGTTTTAAAAAAAAATTCTTATGTGGGCAGTGGGCACCAAGTGCTTTCTGGTTAGATGTCAAAAATTCGCTTTTTTAGATTGGTACAATTGAATGTATTTTGTTGTGACAAAAGTAAAGAGTAAAATTTTCACTCGTGGACAATAAATACATAGTCAAATGAGGCTTATCTAAAGACATACTAAACAAAAAATTAACAATATAGATAAGATCAAAAAACGCCAAATTTTGAAATTTTGGTTTTCTAAATTATAAATTTTGTTTTTTCTATAAATATGAGTTTTACGCAGATAATTTCTACTTACGTTGGGGCCACAAATATGATTAATTATCTTTTCTATCTATCGCGAATTTGGAAAAATATAGAATCTAAGAAATCTAGATACATAGCAAGTGGCAATACCATAGAATGCATAGCAAGTGGCAGTACCATAGATACAATACCATATAAACAAATCAAAATTTATAACTAGATGCTATAATTCTTGACCATCAGTTATCTACAGCTGAACAAGATCTCAACTGATAGACAAGTGATAATATAAGTTTTTACTATTGTAAAAAACATTATAAGTAGTCATCATTAACTAATAATAAGGCTGTGACATTTCAAAATTTAAAATTTAAGTTTTGAGTATAATTTTTTTCAAATTTTCTCTTATGTGGGCACCAATGTGCCTCTCTCGCTAGATGTCAAAAAATCGTTTTTTTAAGATTGGTACCATTGAATGTATTTTATTGTGAAAAAAGTAAAGAGTAAAATTTTCACTTGTGGACAATAAATACATAGTCAAATGAGCCGTATCTAAAGATATACTAAACAAAAGATCTAAAATATAGATAAGACTTAAAAACGCCAAATTTCGAAATTTTGGTTTTCTAAATTATAAAATGTGTTTTTCCATAAATACGAGTCTTATTCAGATAATTTCTACTTACATTGAGGCCACAAATGTGATTAGTTATTTTTTTTGAGTTTTTGCGAATTTGGAAAAAAATTTGCAAAACATTAAATCTAAAGAAATTTAGAATGCATAGCAAGTGGCAATCCATAGATACAATATCATAGAAACAAATCAAAAGTTATAACTAGATGCGGTAATTTTTGACCACACACATAGTTATCTATCTAAATACGATAAGAAAACATAATGATAAACAGCTAATAAGCAGAAGAACAAAGATCTCAGCTTATCATGTCATAAAAACAAAAAAATGCGATATTACAACAGAAAATTGTAAGATCCATATTTACATAAACAAATTGCGAGATCTCCTATATTTAAAAAAATCGTGAAAGCCGATCTAATGATATAATTCTGAAAAATCGTCAAGTAGGAATAACAACTGAATGTTCCTTATGATGAGAAAAACGCGAGATCTCCTAAGATTGGAAAACCAATCCAAGAAAATAATGTTGCAAATCGTCAAATTAGACAAATGAATGCAAGCAAAAGAGGGAATTGAATGTTTTTTATGACAAGAAAGATAACTAAATCTCCTAAACATAAAGAAAAAATTCGCGAAAACCGATCTAACGATATAATCGCGATAAATTGTCAAATGGATACAAACAAGCGACAGACTGACAATTGAATCTTTCTAGTATGCTCATGGTCAGATTGAGTGCCAAAATGACTAACAAACAAGAAGATTCAATATCAATCAACCAGATCTAAGATGGATACAAACAAATGGTCGAATTTGGAGGCGACAGGGGTTAAGATAGTGATGATATCATATATATTCCAATCATTTCTTTATGATCACACTAGAAGAAAAAAACTAACCTAGGAAGCAAGAAACCAATGAGATCTCGAGATTTTCCTTAATCGGAAATAAAAACAGTCCTTTGTCAGAAACTAACCAGTTCATCAGATTCAAAATAACGAAGCCATGTTCAGTTAAAGCAATCAAGCAGAGATCCAACATAACAAAATGATAAACCTAAAAATCATACTCAAAAGTTAGAGGGAATGAGAGAGGAAAGACGTATTTTTGCACTTACAATGGTGAGATTATGCAGAGCAAAGTTAGAGATAAGCAGGTTCGGATTGTGAAGATCAGTGATCCACTGGAGAATCATCTCAATGTTCGGCGGAGATGCGATGTTGGCCGGCGCCGGAGCAAAAGATGGAGCGGAGGACCAAGTCGGCTTGAGTCTACTGTAGTCCTCGTACAATGAATCTGGTAGATTTTCCATTTGTCGCTGGCGTGAATCAGCCGGAGAAAGTTCTCTCGCGGATTCTTTTTTTGTTTTTTTCTCTCTGCAAATTAATTCAGCTCTGAGTGTTGTGGCAGTTGATGAGTACGAGAAGGAACTTTTATATAGAGGCTCCAAATTGCACGCATGGCTTCAAAATTGTAACTGACAAAAATACCCTCCAGTAAATTTTTGTTGTTATTGTTTAAAAAAATTAAAACTAAGGAAATAATAATTGTCAAAGTGCCAAAAAAAATAATAATACTTCCAAGGAAAGTCTGTATGGAAAGAAAATTTATTTGTTTGTTTCTGCTGGATTTGGATTAAATATTTTCTTACTTTTAATAAACACATTCTGACCAGAAAATAAGAACTTAATCTGTAGTAGCTTATCCTATCCACAGGCACGTGTAAGGAGGTCTATTGAGAATTTTATTACAGTGAGCTAAAAGTTATCAATATATAATTATGCTCACGGTTTGCCATTTTCCCCAGTTTTATATTGTGGCTTTGTAACGACTATATATATATATATAGTGGTTTTGTATGTAATTATGTAACATAGTTTGTTATGTATTTCTTTTTTTTATGTTATGGGTAAAGTACAAACAATATTATTCATAAGAATTTCTTACATATTTTAACCAAAATAAATAATTCCTTACAGAAAGCATGTATTTTTATTTATATATTACTCAAAATCAGTTTCTATTATTAAATCGGTTCTATTATATTAAAAATTTTGATTTTTTTTTTATTTTAAAAATAGTCACCATGTAGTCAAACCATAAATTTGTTGACAAAAAGGTATATTAGTAATAGAATTATTTATATATACTTGTATATATACACATTGTTAGAAGTTCATTTTCAACATATTAATTATCATTAAATTTTCAAAGGTATTAGCTCTTAAATATTACATAAATAATCATGGGCTGCATCTCCTCCAAAAATAAATTTGGACTTCTTTATAGTTCTGTGATTTACCCTGAATTATTAAAAAAATTACATAAATAAAACCTAACCATATATATAATTAGTCGAATTTCTATCTATCTAGAGTGTCCACCTCATAATTTTTTTTTTAAAATGTGATTTAAAATATTTTTAGTTTTGGTTTTAAATTTTTATATTAATACTTTATTTACATGTCATATAAATTATAAATTTTCTATTTGTGAAAAAAAAGTTTGGAAGACAAATATATACGAAAGATGACGGTAGAAGTTTCAAATAATAGTTATCAAACTTTTTTAAAAAAATTAGAAAGATTTATGAATAAAACTAAAGTAAAATTATTCATAAAAAATAAATACTTATTTAACAAACCATAAAAACTAGAAATTTTCTATAAAATAAAAACAAAATACAAAATGTTATTTCTAATATAAACAAAGAGAATGTGAAAAAGAGTTGGAAGGTGAACAATTACGAAAGATGACGGAATAACTTGCGGAGAATAGTTATCAAACTTAAAAAAATAAAATCTCTGCAAGATTAATGTATAAAACTTAAATTAAAATTATTTATATATACTTTATTCTATAAAACGAATGAAAATTTTTCATGAATAAAGATAATTTAAGTGTTTAAATTATATAGTATAGAAATAAACTTGATTTATACAAAAAAAAATGGCAAATACTTATCAACTATTTTTCTGAAATTTGATATTCAATGACTTTACTAATGAGTCGAATAAAATATAAGTTTTAATATGAAGTATATAAATAAACTAAAACAAGATTATTGATTATACTTTTTAACAGAATTATATCGTTTCCCTCCACATGACATGAAAAATAGACAAAAATATCTACACACATATTCACAAATATAGTCATGTAGGTAATCAATCGTTAGATGGATAAACACATCAGAATTGCTTCACAAAAGAAGATATATGCTCAAATAAATTAAAATCAACACTTTATCAAGTAAGCATAATTTTTTTGGAAAAAACCTATAAAACATATTTAACATCTGAACAGATCTTTTGTTCTATCTCACCAACTTTAACTACAATTTACCTCATTTAGAGTTACAACCAATTACATAACTGAATGAAACAAAAACTTGCATGAAATAAGAGAATATATCACTAGATTGTAATCAGAATAATTGGACTATGAACAATAGAAAATAAAGAAAAAATGAAGGACTATTTTTACTTGAAAATATGTCAATTTGTTTGAAAATCCATAAAAAAAATTAAAGAAACTTTTAGTTTAGAATGAGAAGAGATCGATGGTGATTTCATTTTATTAATTTATGAAGATAAGTTGTAGAAAAACGATCATAAACTAATTAAATACAGACAAATTATTAAAACAAATATAATATATATTGCAGTGTATAAATATATGAGAATTATTTTTTAATAATTAATTCATCACATTCTATATTTGAGGACAGAAAAAATAGAAAACATTTAAAAAACAAATATAACACTTTATAATAAAGAATAAATATATGTATAATAATAATATAAATATATAAAATTTTAAATTAAATTAATAAATAAGTTTGTGCAACACACAGATCAAAATCTAGTGTTATTAGTAATAGCTCTAGAAGCAATAATAATTTGTAAAGTTATATAAACATAAATTTATGATAAGCTATATAAGAACTTATTATACATATGTATAGTTTACGAATTCACAGTAATTGCCACTAAAAACCTAATCAACCATATTTAATTCAATTGGAGATCAAATTATATATGGTTTATTAAAGCTCTAATTTATTTTATTTTTTCATTTGATTAAATGGCTTTTAAATTTTTTTCTCTTCTTCGTAATGTTCAATTGAATTAAAACAAACAACAACATGTTGTACAAAAGCATGTTCTTCAAAAAACAACAACAAAAACAGCATTATATGTTAACTGAGACAATGTAACAAAACCATATCTCCATATACGACCATACCCACACTAGTTTCTTACAGAGAAAACAACAAATAAAACAGCTAAAAAAACAGCTTTAGAAATAGTAGACAATGGGATACCAAACTTTCCCTTCTCAAATAAACCTTTTAGAAACGGAAGGAACAATATAACCACCAAAATACACCCGCAAGCTTCTGTCAGACTCGAACCGCTGCTTCTACCGTAGCTACAACTCAACCGTTGCAAACCCATCGAGAAACCGGCTATAGCGGTTAAGTTTACCAACAGAATAAATGTGCCGGGCAAGAAATAAAGCGACCCATCGAATTCAAATTTACCTGAATCTGGATTTGGACCATTGTCATCCTTTTGAGATGGTCCATCTCCAGACTCTAACTTGGTCTTGGAGATAGTCTTTTTGGTGACTACGAAGACGGTTTTCGAAATTCCAAGAAGCTTAAGTATGATATCAAGGATGCTAAACAACCAACTAGAAGTGGTTTTTACTCTCCCAAATGATTGAGAAGCATACCATGATTGTACTGTAAACCCAAGACTCATAAACTCCCATAGAGTGTAGAGGCAGTGCATCCCCACAACACTGACGACTATACCTAAACAAACTCCCTACAGCAACAAACAAAAGATAGAAGAACGTTAATGTGTTTCCTCTAAATGATATTATTGCATAAGAGTAATTATTAGCATGATAGTTACCTTGGGAAACAAGGAAGAGTTGTGGAGTAGGCAATAAGCAGGCAAGAGACAGTAAAAGAGCTCAGGGATTGACCTCAGACCCCAAGTGAAAATACAAAAATAGGCCAAGCTTTGTCGAAATCTTAATTTACGGCAAAACATTCCGATCAACGGACTTTGTTTGTTGAAAAGGACTTCAAGCAAGCCTGCCGCCCATCGCCGCTGTTGAAGCATCGCATCCGGTCCTCCCGGCGGCATACATCCAAGAAACGCCGGTGGTTCCGGAAGTATATATGCGCTAGTCCACCCTCTCGAATGAATTCCAATACTCGTGTTCACATCTTCTGTCGTTGAATCGTATAACCAACCAATCTGAACCATTTATATATAACAACAAAAACGTTATGAATATAATCTAAACTTTATAGTTAAAAAAGACATTGTTATACTCTCTTTATTTTAAACTAATCATTTGAGAAAGGGATTACCGTTTTGCCCCAGCTGGTTTGGTATTCGTAGTGACAATGTCCTATTTCTTGAGCCAAATCTAATGAGTTTGTAAGGGAGTTTTGGGGATTTGATTTTTTCTGTAATGCATCGACCACCGATTTCACCATCTCCTCAGAATTCCCAAAATCTCTCGCTAAACTCTCCTCAGCCAAAAACTGACCTGAATGAAGTAACATTAGGATCCATGAATGATTTGTTATATAGATAGTAAAATAATCGAATATGTAATGGAACCGTACGTTTAAAATAATTAAAAAAAAAAAAAAAAAGATAATCATGAAAGTAAAGTTGGTTTTGATATGATCTGATATCTTTTAAACAATATTTTGAAGAAAAATATAATAACGTAATAGTCCAGAAATTTATTTTGAGTTTCTATTTTCTAATACTTACTCGTAGCAAACGAAGAAAGACTTCCATTGTCATCTAAATCATTTGGAGATAAACCGTACATAACTCTTCTAGTGTGGAAACATCCTGAGCCACCATATAGCGGTCCTTGGATTCCCGCAATTCCTCCTCCGATATACTACTTTCCATTTCCAATTAATAACTAAAATCGAAATGAGCAAAACTATATATATGTAAAGGCAATACAAATTATCTTACTAATTGTAAGACGACGACTTCGTCGGCGTTGGAATCATAGAAATCTTGAGGGAACTGAACAAAAGCACAATGGTCTTTATTCATTGATCCTTCAAGAAAGATACACATTGCTTGTCGCACCACATCTGCTTCATTCGCATACATGTCACAGTCTACGTTCAGCATGTACGGTGCATTTGTCATCAAACCTGACACTCTTACCTGCTCAAATTTATATCTTACGCTCCGTCATCCCAATTTTAATTATTATAACAAACAAAAAGTAAGATCTACAATCTTTGGTACTCATAAGATAATTAGTTTTACATGCATGCTTAATTAACACATAGATATGTCTTTTACCACCAAACAAGAAAAAAAAATGTACAGAGATATTTCTACCCACATATAATGCATGGTTAGGTTATGTAACTTATGTGCAAAATGTCACATGCAACGAAATGTAAACAGTGATTTCAGTCATATCACATGGAAACATTGTACTATAATATAAATAGTTGGGCCCATCAAACAAGTGATATACGGGAAGCAGATGTCAATTTCTCCTTTACTGTTTTGCCTTCCTTAAAAATGCCATTTGTTTTTTGTCACTCCTTGAAAATACTTACTCTATATATCCACACGCTCATTGTTTTTTTGTAATCATACTATTTTTTTAATCCCGACTAGTTTTATTACCACCTAGTCTCTAACTTAAAACATCTACAAAACATCATAGCGGCCAAATTATTAAAGACTTAATGGCAATTAATCTCTGATCCCAATTCCCAACCAGAAAGTTCACTAACCAGAAAGTTCATGGCTCCAGCTTTGTAATGATGAGGGTAATTTGGTTTTTTCTCTCTTGAAATGTATACAATATGAGGGACCTCTTTCTCGTCTCCCACACCTCCCTTGTTCTCCCATACCACCTTCACAATGGTCACATAATCACATACACACACACAATTTCAGATACATATGCAACTGTTATCTTTAACCTTTGCATTTTATTTGCCAAGTTAACTACGTACGCAGTTATATTAGAACGAAACACCTAGTATGGTTGTCCAACCATTAAAATGAAGAAAACAACTAGAGAGTTGACTTTAACCCTTTTGTTATGTGAGTAAATATATATAGTTAGAGATTATTTTTTCATAATTTTGTTTACTTTAAAGAAATTGTAGAAATACCTTGACTATAGTTGAATGATCATTTGGTTCTGCGTTTGAGAAAGCTTCAAAATCACCGTCAGAATCCAACCAATAAGAATCTCCGGTGGCGTTTTCCACTTTCTTGCTTAACTTCTCGTACTCCCTCTTTATATAAATACAATAAAAAAAACATTTTGAAGAAAATTCTCAATTATAACATGAGAAGGTAAAATACGTTTGTCAAACATATTTTGAATCTATAAAAATTAACTCGGTAAGATAACAGTCTCACATTTTTGCTTCTACAATTTTCAAATGATGTTTGATTAGCAAAACAAAACTGTTATGCTCTCTTTTTCTTTTAATAAACAAAAAAACAAGATTGCTCTTTAGTTACCTTTGTTATTTCCCATTCCTTACTAAACTCAGAATCCTCTGATGGAGGCAGAGGATTCAAAAAATATCTAAAAGGAGCTCTGACTCTAACGTTGTATTTCTTGCAGAAAGGAACCCAAATCTTGGCGAACTTAGAAGCTTCCTTGAGAGAGAAGTAAATAAGAGGTGAGCATCCATCGTCCGACAGGTAACAAGCTAATTTGTTCGCCGGATAATTCACAGCTAACAGCGAAAGCACGGTGTTCACAACGAGAATGGGCGGCTCCCGAACCGGATCCGCCGTGGTAACAAACATATCTACCGATGGAAGGTCATGAACCCTGAAATTAATAATTACTAGGCCAGTTCATAGCTAGAACTATATACAAAAATTGATAAGAATCTTGGTTTTAATGCATATGGTTGTATAATTAACAAAACCTTTCATCAAGTCTATCTGGATAAGGTTTATATTCAGCAGGACTCCATTTTACGCAGGTAATAAGCAGCCATGTGAAGGAGAAACAAGATTCACACAGGAAAGCTACAACCCAAACGGTGTCATTTTGGCTCATATGTAGGATTCGGTGCAAGAGAAGAGAAAAGAGAAGGCCAAGAATCGTGAGATCCACAGCTCTTAGAAAATATCTTTTGTATGAGATCCTTTCGCAAAGAGGAGGAAGAGAAGAGCTTGAATCCGCCATGGGATGAGCTTTCTTGTGAGCTTTCTTGCGGTTTTTAGATATGTTTCTAAAAGAGTAGATATATAAAGTTGAGAAGTTTTTTTTTTTTGGGTTAAAACTATTAACAAAAAAAAGGACAGAGAAATCGCAATCTAACGAAATTGACTACTTTGTCATTTAGATACATGAATTAGGCAAAAAAGACACTATATAAGCGTATATATGTATTGTGCAAATTTTGGTTAACATTATACAGATTTTTTCTACGGAAGCTAAAATATACACAGACACCGTTAGAGTTTACATAAATTGAAGTATAACCTCTAGATGTGTGCTACTAAGCTGATTAAGTTACCATCGATTGAAAAATAAAATATTTTCTTATATCATATCATAAGTTAAGATACGTCAGACTGAAATAAACCTTTTCAACGGATTAATTAAGTATACACATTGAAGTGTCATTAGCACCGTTATTGTGTTACCACTTACCATCGAACTTTAATCTAATTAGCATTTGTGTGGCGAGTGAGCTAGAGAAAGAACCAATTTATTAATAAAAGTTTTATTTATAAATTTTTGCATGATGTGTATAACTTTCTTTCTATTTGTGGTGATTTTTTATGTGGTCTGATTCAATTTAAGATGACGATAGAGTTTTGTCGTTTTGATCCGTTTGGCGTTTGCTCTCGTGGTGATTGATTGAGTAGTCCTCGCACGAAAAATGAAGTTACGTAAATGGTTCTTAATTATCAATTTATCATCGTTATATAAAAGAATTCAATTGAGATAAGAATAGCAATAAAATTGTTTAAAACAATTGCTTAGTTATTTCCTTACATTGCCATTTATTTTTCGCAATGGAAACATACGTGACGGGCTCATTTTTCCGGATTGGGTGGTGCATGACTTTGTCGTTAGATGCATACTATAAATTTCCTTTCCCTTTTTTTTCTCTTCTTTTGCTTTCAAATACAAATTTTCTATATAAATAATTAAATGTATACCATCTCTAGACATTTGACCATATGTTATGACTGTTTTTTACTTTCTACGTATGAGAGATATACATATTAATCTATGCATGGATGTGCAATATTCCATTTAATCTTCTTATTTTTTATTATTTATAACTAAATTAACATCCACATTTTCATCATCTTTATATGAGGTTTTAAGCCTATTGCGGGATTGTGTGTATATTAGATGTCAATTTCGTTAAAAGTATAATATAATCAAATGGAATATTGCACATGCATGCATACATCAAGATGTATACCTCTCTTGCATAGAATATAAAGTGAAAACAGTAATAATATATGGTCAAATGTTTTAAGATGGTATATTTTTTATATGTAAATAAATATTCAAAGGTACGTTGGCCTAACAAAATAATGCAAGAAGATGGGTTTTTTTTGGTCTCGGGTTCAAATCTAAAAAATTAATTTAGAATACTAAGATAGATAATAGGCCGAATATCCAAAACTTCTACGATTTTCAAAAGGAAAAAAAAAAGAAAAGAAAGTCATTTTCATCAAATCGAGGAATCAAGAAATCTCCAAAAACGAAATCCAATGGGGATTTTCATAAGTAACTATTTACGTGGATACAGGCTAATAATAATTGGGATAAAAGAGACAAATCCAAATCGTAAAGGAAAGAGACAAGAGCCGTAAAAGGCGATGCAGCCTCTAGAATGCACGGCTGGTATTGACGTATTATCGTTATAGATTTATTTTGTGTCAATATATATAATAAAAACACCCAAAACAAAATTTACCGCTGAAAAACTAGGCCGAAAAGAAAAAGGGAAATTGGGCCTAAAAGGCCCACGTGTGAAAAACTAAACTGAGCCCAGCTTTATGGTCATGAATACGACGTCGTTTCTGTCTGACGCTGAAGAGTTCTCGTTTATCATTTTTGTAGGGTCGAGAAAATGTTAGCTGCACTAGTGTCATCTTCATCTTCCAGATTCTTCTCTTCTTCAGTTGGAAAGACTTGCCCTCTCTCTAGATCTTCGATTCCTTCTTTTTCTCGCTTTTCAGTCCGATCAATGGCCGATTCCGCTTTTAAAAAAATCCAGATCAAAAGAGATGATACCGTAAGCTTCTCTTCTCTTATCTCTGCTTAAGTTTTTCCTCTACTTCGTGCATTTGTTTTTGCGTGTGTGGTTGTGTTTGGTGTATCAGAAGCTTCGATTGTATACATAAGGCCTGATTTTGAAGTGGAAAATCATAATTTCGTCAGATAGTTTCTAGTTCCAAGGATCAGAATCTGCTGTGTAAGAAGTTTGGATTCGTTTCGTTATAATTAATTGCATTGAATTGATGGGATCTCTCGTTTCAATAGCGTATCTGCGTTGTTCTGCTTTTGCTTGAAACTCTTTCGGCAATAGAGAGAGTTAGATTTCTTCTGAACAACAGAGATTCGTAATTATAAAGGACTTTGAAAATTGCATTTGGCTTGGCTAATTCTCTGTATATGCATCTTCTATAGCTTCGTTTTCTCAACCCTTATACACTCATCCTTGTGTGAAATGTGTTGGTCAGACGTTCGATGCCTATGTGGTGGGTAAAGATGAAGCGCCTGGGATTGTGGTGATTCAAGAATGGTGGGGTGTTGACTTTGAGATCAAGAACCACGCCATTAAAATCTCACAGCTTGAGCCTGGTTTCAAAGCCCTTATACCCGAGTGAGTGTCTCTTCTCGCAATACACTTTGTAAAAGTATAGCTCTTTTGAAGTATCTATCTCTTTTCACAAGAGTTTTTTTTTAACTGTAGCTTGTATCGAGGAAAAGTTGGTCTTGATGCTGCAGAGGCACAGCATCTGATGGATGGCCTTGACTGGCCAGGTGCTATCAAAGATATCCGCGCTTCTGTTAACTGGCTCAAAGCCAATGGCTCAAGCAAGGTGAACAAAAATTGGCTTCAGGTCTTCATAAAAACTCTCTATATTTGAGGAAAACAGATAGATTATTAATTGCGTGTATCCACAGGTTGGTGTGACTGGAATGTGTATGGGAGGTGCACTAGCTATAGCTAGCTCTGTTTTGGTTCCGGAGGTTGATGCTGTGGTCGGATTCTATGGAACCCCTTCCTCTGAGCTTGCGGATCCAGCACAAGCCAAGGCACCTGTTCAGGCTCATTTTGGAGAGCTTGACAATTTTGTCGGTTTCTCTGATGTCACGGTATATATACTCATATAGCCTTCATTTCCTCAGCATAATGATACATCCCTTATATATACATCTCAAATCGAATGATATATTACATTACAACCTATATATGATGCAGGCGGCGAAGAATCTGGAAGAGAAGCTGAAAGCGTCGGGAGTAGCACACGAGGTTCACATATACTCGGGGAACGGGCACGCTTTTCTGAACAGGAGCCCTGAAGGGGTGAGCAGAAGGAAAAGCATGGGACTTTCTGATGAAGATGAAGCTGCGGTGGAGCTTGCTTGGTCTCGCTTCAACTCCTGGATGAAACTTTACTTGGTTTAAACCTTCCTTTTTGTCAGACACGATGTTTCGTGTAAGATGCGCAATGATCTTAGAGACACTCTGCTCTTAGGACTTTCTGTCTGAATGAAATAAAAGTGGTTTGTTTCGTTTGCTTGTGGGTTTTGTGTGGAATTGTTCGAAGTTTTATTTACAACTGAGTCTGTATTTGTGTGTTATGAATCGAACTTAATCGTCAAACAAGGGAGGAAAAATTATTTAGTTGTAGGGCAATTAATATGTACTCAACATGTACAAATGTTAGCTTCTCTTGTCAAAGTTAATCAAGAATGCGAAAATGATAGAATAGCCGATTGTCTTCCTTTCTTATAATTGATTTTGATATTAAATCTAATTAAATATTGAACGGAAAATATCGTACATGTGTTTTGCACGTGTTTCAGCATTGTTCTTGTATTTCTTTTGTCGGCATACGGCATTGTAATTGTATACGTTTAACACCGACGACATCTGATAATCCATTTGATCAACAACATAAATTTTCAACGACTAATTTCAGCTGCAAGGTACAAGCTAAAGGAGAGATAATATGCGGATTAACTCATGCAGCTTATAAGAAATGAGATTACTCGTATAATGATTACGATTCACAAAATCTTTAGATTTTAATCTATGTTAATGTAATTAGTAAAAATTAATGACGAAATATGTATCATTATCTTTCTACTACTGTCCATATTGAATGATTAAAATAATTCATGTGAAAACATTGATAAAAATCGACTTAAAATATAAACATATGTCAAATTCTGCTTATTTACACCATTTCAACAATTCAGATACAGAGATCTTGTTCTGATCTTAACAGTGAAGTGTAGAGTCGGCTAACCACTTGAAGCGCTAAACACTCCCAAGCTTTGTTCACATTTTCTCAACGCACAAGAAATACTTCATTAACGTTTACCCATATAACATTTTTGTTTATTTTAGGATGTTTGCCCAAATATCTTTCCTTCCCTAATCACATGCCGACAAATAATACAAAAATATTTATCAAATCAACCGACAAATCATGATATGCAAAATTAGTATTTGTTTAGTAGTAACCCCATAAAACGTGCTGAGCCAAAGGAACCCACGCGATCGACGACAAACAGCAAGTGAGAACAAAAAAAGTAAAGAACCCTCTCTGACACGTATCTTGATTGCATTTCATATTAATTAGTTACAGAAAATAAAGTTTTTAGTATGCAAAATGTCATGTTCCACGTGATTGTATGAGATCCGTTTACTTTGCACAGTTCATTCTGTTGACACCCTAATTTGGATCATAGTTTTCAGTATTCATATATGTTTTGATTCCTTCATGTTCAACTTTTCTACCATAGCTGTTTATTTCTTTATTTTTCTAACTACTCTATCAAAAGAATAATTTCTATCATTCTGATATAAACATCTTGTAGATGCATTTTCATCTTTTGACAATGCCATCTTTTTCTAAAGTATGTATCAATTTAAAATTTCAATGTAACATTTTACATATATATAGCTTTCTACTAAAAATATAATTTTTAAATAACATATAACAGAATTTTGAGATTTTTGTTTTCATCTTTGTGGGCACATATATTTGCTTTGTTTATTACATGTATGCAATCTTTAAATCTTGAAATTAATAAAAAAAAAAGTAGTTTAAATATTTTTAATATTTAATTTGTTAATTTATTAATTTGTGATCAATAAAAAATAAAACCTAGAGAGTATTGATTTTTCTAATCATTGGAGATGATTGTTTGGCCTTTAATTGGCTGGATGTCTTATTCTGCAGCTAAATAAATAAATTAAAATACTGTCTGGATAAAGTATTGTCACGGGTTTTGAGTACATCGATGACTAGTGTGCAATGTAAGCAAATCGTTTGCAGTTAATCGAATATTAATCTTCAAAACTAAAGTTTACCAGTTGCATACATGTTTATACTAATAACCGATTTAAATAAATAAACCAGAATTAAATATATATGGACCATATGAATTTGATTCACTATCACAATTTTCTAATCCGAAAAGCAAATAAATTTGTTTTTTCTAGAAAAGGGAGAAGGGAATATAAGTTCCTTATGTCTTACTCTTGATATCTAGAGTTTATATTTTGAAGCAACGAAAGAGGTCTATTTTGCTTTTCTCAAGCATAATAGATTTGTCTTTGATTTGTATTACTAAATTTTATTTTTGTGGTTGAGAAATTTATTGAAACAATATATTGCTTGATGAATGAATCATACTTAATAGATTATACATCTAATCAAATTTAAAATAGATATTCGAAATTTCTATACTGTATTTTGAATAACAGTCTCTTTTGTCATTAACTCATAATTTGTATGTATGGTTCTTGGCGTTACACAACCAGAAGTTGTAGGTAGTATAAGTGCTTCCTTTTTTTTCTGAAAAAACGATTAATGATTTTTGTTCCTTTCCACCTTTTTTGGTTTAGCTTTTAGTGAGATGTAATACTATTAAAATTGAGTAGGTTGTTGCTTAAAGTAGGCGTTCTTGCCCTTAAAATTTCCTCCTTGTTTTCATGCCAAGTGTTACATACACGCATTACATATTTCCGTGTGTATATGTTTTTATATACATCTTACGAACATATATGTTACCAAACAACACGGAAATTATACTTGTTATTCAAAATATAAAATATAAATGCAAAGAGCCACGTTCAACATTTTAAAAATCATCAACAGATTCAAAAATAAAATAAGAAAACATCAAATTAACCTACTAAAAGAGTAATGAAAATGGAGCATATGCTTAACGATATATTCAAGTTGCTTACGACTAGTTGATCCATGTACGAAGGACATAAACTCGTCACATCCCCAAATTCGATAACTTCACCGTGTGCAAAATCCAGTAATCTAAGATTTTGGTTGATGTTTTGATATTTTAAATTTTATTTTAGATTTTTGTCGACATGTGATTGATATTAATATTAAAGAAATAAGTATTATGTAAATATATAATGAAAACGCTTTGCACCATTTTGACATTCCAAATTTCAGACACAATTTATATGATACCACATATTAAAGTTTAAATCATTAAAATTTAAAATAAAATAAAAATTAATTCGTAAACTGATAATGAAAAAGCTATTTGGAGTACAAATAACGAAAGAAAGGTGAGGAAAGAAAAATCATCATTAGCCTAAATTAGTCGTGATTCTATATGTGAACTTGACTTTAATTTGAATGTAAGTTGTAAGTTAGAACCATAAAACAGACCTAATCATGTTTGAATATGATTATTTATTTCTTAAACCTCAACCGATAATGGTGGTTAAAACAACCGCTCACTTTCGTTTATTTTCTTTCCAAGGGGTGAAAGTTTCATTAAAAGAAGATTCTTAATCTATTTTATTGTTCCAACAAATAATTTGGTATTCTTGTCAGAATATTTGTTTAACGAACGTCTATTATTTATCTATAAGATAACAAGTTGACTAAATTATAGAAAAAAATGTATAGTTGATTATTATAGCCTTGGTCTCCTGTGGAAAATATGATATCCCAAATCTTTGCAGTGATTACACAACTAGCAAAAAAAAAAATTTCCAAAGGAAAAAAGTCCTCTTTGAATAGAAGTCAGAAAATTAAAACATTGAAATCTTACATATTTTGCTATAAAAAGTTGTAAAAAGGAATTGCTATGAGGAAAAAAAAATGAGAACTGTTTAAATAAGAAAACAAGATATATATAATAGACCAAAACGAAAGATAAAGCAGATAGAAAACGCTATGTTAAAAAAAAAACAGATAGAAAACGCTGCCAGACAAGACTTAGATATATATTATAAAATAATATAATAAAAAGATCTGGCAAAAAATTTGAAGAAAGTATATAGACGATCACGAAGTGTAACGACAAAGCTCCAAGTGTGCAGCTGATCGATCAGAATCTACCAAAGTGCCCAACTTCTCCGCTCCACTAATTTTATTTTTCTTATACCAAACTCATAAGAAACCACAAATCCAAAAATTTATAATTATAATAATTGTTTCTTCAATTAACGAAAGATAAACATTAGGCCAATTGTAATTTGTAAACAACACGTAGCATCAAAACCTTGTGGACACGTTGCTCGAGAGATATACGGAACTCCGGTCGGAGCAGGAACTAAAAGTTTCTTTGACCATACGAAGTTTGACACGTCATTCTTTCTAGAGACTGTAATATAAAGAGTACAGACTCGCCATTCGCCAACACCAACAAAATGCCACGTCACTAAACCCAACGAACTTACGTTAGATACGTTCCACTGCCACGCCACACGCCAGTTGATATTTCACTCACGTTTTCTCAAAAGACCTCTCTTTAATTTTGTACTCTTTGAAACTTCACATATTTCTTTCTACACATTTTGATCTTTTTAGGTTTCTTAAGAATTAATAAAATAATCAAAATCAAATCTTTCATTTGGTTATCAACTTTAAAAAGAGATATCAACGGGACCACGTGTACACACAAGAACATATTTACGTTAGTATATTTCATAATTTAATCTTAGCGTTGGTAGATAAACTCGATGTTACCAAAAGTATACACTATCTAATCCACCCCTAAAAAAAAAAAAAAAAATTCGTTCCCCCTTATATAAACCTTCTGTTGAATAGCAGAGTGGAAAAAAGCAAAACTAGACCGAAAAAAAAACACTTTTTTTCTTTTTAAAACTCTCATTACGTTTTTCTCTAGTCTTCTCCAAATGGAATGGACTAGAGGAAGACTCATAGGCCGAGGCTCCACAGCCACCGTCTGCGCCGCCACGTGTCATAATTCAAAAGAAACCCTCGCCGTTAAATCCGCCGAGCTTCACCGATCAGAGTTCTTGCAAAGAGAAGCTAAGATTTTCTCGTCGCTGAACTCTCCGTATGTGATCGGATACAGAGGATCAGAAATCAAGAGAGAGTTAAACGGCGTCGTTACGTATAACATTCTCATGGAGTACGCACCGTACGGAACGTTGACCGACGCGGCGGCGAAAAACGGAGGCCGACTCGACGAAGCTCAGGTCGTGAAGTACACGCGTCAGATACTACGAGGATTAGAGTATGTTCACTCGAAGGGTATCGCGCATTGCGATGTAAAAGGGAGTAACGTGGTTGTCTCGGAGAAAGGTGAGGCAAAGATTGCGGATTTCGGGTGTGCGAAACGGGTCGACCCGGAATTTGACTCGCTGGTTATGGGAACACCGGCGTTTATGGCTCCGGAGGTGGCGCGTGGAGAAAAACAGGGGAAGGAGAGTGATATATGGGCGGTTGGATGTACGGTGATTGAGATGGCTACGGGGTCTCCGCCGTGGACGGAGGGGAATGCGAGGGAGGATCCGGTTTCGGTTCTTTATCGGGTCGGTTATTCGGGTGAGACTCCGGAGCTACCTCGTTTGCTTACGGAAGACGCAAAGGATTTTTTGGAGAAGTGTTTGAAGAGAGAAGCAGATGAGAGATGGACGGCAACACAACTCCTAAACCATCCGTTTTTGCTAGCTAAACCGGACATTGAACCGATTTTGGTTTCCGGTTTGGTTTCGAGCTCACCGACAAGTGTGACAGATCAAACGTTTTGGAAATCAGTGGAGGAAGAAGTAGTAGAAGAAGAAGAAGAAGAAGAAGAAGAAACAGAGGAGTTACAGGAGGATTCGAGTGATCTAGACCGTTTAAACTTATGGGCATGTCATTCGGAGAGGATCGGACGGCTGAGATGTGTTGGTGGGTTGGATGGGCCCAGATGGGATACGGAGGGTGGGGGTTGGATCACGGTGAGGGTGAGTTGTGAAGGAACAATGATTAGTGGGTCACATGAGGAATTGATTATTAGTGGAAAATGTATTTGTGGGGGAATTGTAAATTGATTTGGGGTTATTATTTGGCTGAATCGTAGAAAGTATTAGGTGTTTGAAATTAGTGAAGATCTCCAATTTAGGGAGATCAAATGTAGCTTTGTTAGTCTCTGAATCTTCGATTGGTCACATGTATATAATTTGAAATCACTATTTTTTAAAAACCAAACCCATTTTTTTAAGCAAAAATGTTGATTTCTATGGAGTTTCAAGGTTTGTTGACCTGCAAAGGAGAAAAACGTTGAACTATTTCATTAAAATCTTATTATCCCTCGGTTTTATCACTGTTTCTATTTGACTAGCTCAGTTTTAGTCTTGAAAATAATAGTATTAACTAAATATTGAGCTTTTTCCCAATGTCTCAAATGTCTACTTTCTCAATTATATAACAAATAGATGATCTTGTTAGATACAAGATTGGCATATAATTGAAGAAAAGGTGCCAAATCGGCTGAATTGGTTCGTTGGTTTGGTTGGTCACTTCGAGTTTTTGACAATACCTAAAGATTCTTTTCGAATCTTCAAAAAATGATCCGTGTGTACATTCATTTTGTGAAATTTGGTAAGTTTCGTTAGGCCAATGTAAACGATTCATCAAGTCGTTGCTTCCACTAGCTAGTTCAATATACATATTAACATATAGTTGACACATCACATAATTAGTTTTAATTACTATTGGATTTTCTTTTCATAATCATCCATTTTCATCTTGAATATGGATAATACAAAAAAAAAACTATCGAAGTTTGCTTGTAACTCATTAGTTCATGCTGAATTCAAATTCATTTTTAACTTCATTTCGTCGTTCGCTATATAGCCTATATTATTGGCTCTTATTAAACACCTTTTATTAAACACAGCTCAAAAAATTGCTTGTAACTCATAAGTTTCATTCTGGAATCTTCTGATCATTTTAAGAGAATTATCACCACAAAAATCATAGTGAAGATAAGATTAAAGTAGTGGGAAATAATAGATGAAGAGAAGAATGCTTTGCTTGCAAGGTAAGTTCATGTTTTGGATAGTTATCTTTTTAACGTAGAAGGTGAATAACGAATCTTTGTTTTATGGTTTTGACTCTTTTTTGTATAAAGTCATAACCATATATAGTATGGGCACTTACCACACGAATGCTTAACTTCAAAGACGGTTAAATCTTTGAAATTCTATGGTTTTTTTACCTAACTCATTTATACGTGTCTAATCTACTTTTGGATCGAACTCGTGGTATTAAATATATATGATTTCTAACACAGTATATCTTTAGTTTCAAATGTGTAAATCTTTTATGTTAAAAACTGTGTAAATCTTTTTATTCATTAGTATGTTACTCTGGTTTCATATTCGATTTTTTGGATATAATTCACAAGATATTTGGATCGATTACATATAAATCAATATTTTTTTTATTCATTTTACTTTTTGGGCACTTAATAAAAACTTTGTTATGATAGATAACTTTACATCATTTGAAGCAAAATATCTGAGAAAGTTAAGGTTATTTGATGTTTATGTATTCTTTTTTTTCATACTTGGTGTTATACTAAATATTATTATATTTTTGAATAGATTTGTTTTACTCCAAATATACTCCAAATAATCCCTATAATTTATTACATAATCGAGTGTTCTTGGCTTCTTGCTAACTAAAGTATTTACAGTGACCAACTATAATTAAAAATACATGGAACAGGTTTGAACACTAACCTCGTAATTTTTGAAGCGAATCTTTCTACCACAATAGTTTATTTTCCAATCACAATTCTATATTTATAGTAGTTTCTAGTTACACAATTTCCATAAATTCCAACCAAGCATTTATATTTAGAGCCTTTATATTTATCAAATTATGAGCTCTCGTTTTAATATACTTCTTCAGAAAAACAAAGTATATTCAAATTCTAGGCCAAAAATTGAAGCTAAAAATGTAAACCCATAAATAAAGTATAAAAATGTAGATAAATAAATAAACAAAAAGAAAGAATAACTAGTTTTGTGGCGCAAAAATATTTAAAAGGCATTTCGAATTACAAAACTATAACTACCACAAATCCCAATAATCTTAATTCGCTACATAAATCGCTATTGAGAAGCGATAAAGCAACAGCCATGCGAGACTTTGCCCGCGTCCCGCGATGATGATCCATCAAGCTTTAGCTCTCCCTCGTCTTCTTACTTACCCAGTTCTCACCAGAGGTAAAGTTTGGGTTTTTCTTTCTGGGTTTTGGCTCTCTGTCTTTCTCAAGAATATTCGACTTGATTTCTGTCGCGGGCTTGTCGATTTCGGCTATGGTATGGATTTCTGTCTCGGGCTTGTCGATTTCGGCTCATGCGGCGGGATTTGTTTTCTGGTGACCTAATTTCTGGAGAATCGATTGTTAATGTGACTGTGGGCAATCAAGAGATTGTCCACAGTATATGTGATATTGCTCAAGCAATTTCAAATCGAAAAATGGCTTCTTTTTCCTTAATGCCCTAACTAACATCATTTGTGACTTGCAATTATCAGGATTTGGGTCTAATGGAGGCGTCTTTCTGCATCAATGTCAAACAAAGAACCCAAGAGTAGCATTTTGCGCTGCTGATGATCAAATTGCTAATTCCAATTCGAAGATGACAAGGTTCAGTTTTTTTTAAAGAAATTTTAGCTCTTTATGTGAATGGCCTATGTATATGTTAATGTGAGTGTTTAAAATCTGAGATTCTTGAAAAAGTTTCCAACTTGGCATGTGGTTTAGGACTACACACCCTTGAAAAGTTCAAATTCTGCAATTTTTATATGTTATATCAGTTTGATCTACAGGAAAGTAGTGGAGCATGTGTGTTTAATCAAAGCGAAAGAGAATTTGTCTGACAAGGAAGAAAAAGACATGCTCGATTATCTGTACACATCTCAGTATCAAATGAGAGGCATTGTCGCTATTTCTGTAGGTGGGGCTCTCATATTCTTGCTTTGGCTTGAGGACTTAGGTTTATTTAATCTCAGATTCAATTTACTCTCACAGGTTGCATCGGTGGTAGAAACAATGAAGATTACACGCATGCTCTCTTCATGCGATTCCAGAGGAAGGAAGACCTTGAAAAGTTCTATGAGAACCCTTCCTTCTTGAAAGTTCTCAGCGAGCATGTAACACCATTCTGCCATGTATGCCCTTGCATGTAAACGCCATTCCTCTCATTTAGCTCTGTCTTCTCGTCTTCTTCTTTCTTGTTCTTCTCTATTTACAAGTTTTGTTCTTGTTGGGTTTTAATGCAGGGGCTTGTCAATGTAGACTATGAATCAGAAGTCGAAGATGACATCCTTTCAATATTTCGAAAGGGAGAGGTATAATCAACTCAATTCATACTCAAAGTGTTGCTTTCACGAATAGTCACCTCTAGCTCTTTAGCTCTAGAGCCAAAGTGTTACTACTTTCTAGTTTAGAAATTATGTAAACAGGCCGAGTTATTTCTTGTGGCAGGAGTACAACTATGGCGAGGAGTTTGTTCTTCTGGTTACTTTTGCTAAGAACACTTCTGACAAGAACATTAAAGATGCAATGGATTCTTTTGCACAGCTAACTTCATCTCTTCCATCATTAATTGTCCAGTCCACACAAGGTTTCTATGAAGAAAAATGAGTTTTTAATTTTCATTTGGAACTATATTTCAAAGATTCATAAGATCCATACATAGCCAACCTCAAACTGATCTAATCTTCGGTTTAATATTGCGATATCCAGGTTCAAACTTTAATGACAGCAGTAAGGAGTTCACACATGCAGCAGTAGTTCGATTCCGTTCCTGTAATCTTTTTTCCTAATATCCAAACAATCTGCATTCCTCTGTTTTCTTCTAGCATTTCTCTTCTCACTCTTTCTTATGGCAAATCCTGCAGTTGATGCCATGGAGATATTTGTTGAGGGCAGAGAGTATAAAGATGTAAGAACTTCTCTTAACTTAACCTTGTAACTTAACATTATTTAGTACTAACTCATCAACTTTTCTCATATATGATATATAAGTTAGATTGAACAGAGACATTTTTTTCTCTCTTTCAGATGTGGAGGTCACAATTTGAGCCGTTTATCGAAAAAGCATTACTTCTTCATTTCTCTGTGGATCCTGTGGGTACGGACATCATGTGAGACATATCACAAAACATTTCAGCTTGACATGTAAAAGATTTGGTTGCTGTGCATTATCAACAGAGTTCTCCCTCTATTCATTTTGGTACAACAAAACTTGTTGCAGTAAGATCAAACTTCGATAATGCTACTTATATATATTTCTAATTGTGATGACGTTAGCATTAGATCTTAGATAACTGAATATAGTTGCATACTGTTAATTACAAGTATTACAGTACGTTACATATAGGCGACAAAACCCAGCTTGAAGAAAAAGATTACACAACCAACTAAGCCATTGTCCATGCAAAACTGAAAATCAAAATGATAGTGCAAGACAACAATTATTACAATAAATTTTGTTTACTTTTTTTTTGTTCTCTTAATAATGAGATTGAAGTTTCAGAAAGGGGAACTCTTTTCTTAATGTTTCAGGCCATGAACACGACTCATATATTTTTTTCAAACACGAACCTCTTAATGCATTACTAATTATAATTAGTTCCATATTGATTTACTCTCTCCCGTATTCATATTGATCAATCATCTCGAGCATATTTGTGATGAGATGATACTTGTCTCCGGTCTTCCACCGTTTTTGACCTTGATCCTGCATGGAGTTAAAATGAAACTATATTACCAGTCATAGTTTTCTATAGATTTAGACATTTTCTTATGGATCATGCATAATTTCAAAACTAACGTCGTAAAAAGAAAGTGTTTATGGAAGATCACAATGGAAGATCAATGGAGTTCGTAAGATTGGGTTCTGCTCAAGTACGGTCTATGGAAAATTAAGGGAGACGAAACCTCTAGTTATTTGGCATCCTGTTATTTGGTTCAAGAGAGGAATTCCAAAACACAAAACTCACGCTTGGATGGTCTTGCTTAATCGCTGTCCAACTAGGGACCATCTCCTTTCCTGGGGGCTTCAAACTGATCACAGATGCTTACTCTGCAATCAAGCCGCCGAATCTCGTGACCACCTATACTTTGATTGCAGCTTCTCAACTTTAATCTGGTCTCACTTCTACAACCGTCTGGGTATTACAATGGTGGACAATTCGTGGTCTACCTCTGTATCCACCCTTCTCTCTTTGTCTGGTAATAATCACATGAAGTTCCTCTCTCTTCTTTCATGGCAGGCATCAATTTATTTTATCTGGATGGAAAGAAATGATCGGCTTCACCGTAACACCCACAGATCTTCTGATAATGTTGTTAAGCGAATTGAAAGGATCATCACCAACCGAATCTCCTCTTTCCGTCATCAAAACAACTCTCTCGCAAGTGAGATTTTGCAGTTCTGGTTTCGTTCAGGTTGAGAAGCACAAATTAAGGATCGACGATTAGAGAAAAGGCTAATTACAGGGAGTTGGGTTTCTCTGGGCTACTTGAGTTTTTACGGAGCTATTCTGTTGGGACATTTGGGCTTGTCTAGGCAATTACTTTATTTTGGTTATATTGGATTCTAAATGGGTTTCTTGTTTAATTACTAAAGATGGTTTATTGTAATATGCAATAAGCTCTTTTGCTACATTTAATTTAATGCAAAGAAATTGTTCAAAAAAAAAAAAAAAAAAAAGAAAGTGTTTATTCCGTATGAAGAAAAAAACATGATAGAAATATAAACGCAGAATGAATAGTTAAAAAATTTGTTTGTAAGAAGCATTTTTAATTGTGATTTGTGATGATGTTTTATGTGCATAAACAAAAGACCGTCTGTGCTCGTAATATATGTGAAATGGTGGTTAATTAAAAAAAATGACAACGAATATGTGAATATATATTTATGCATTATTTATACCGAATTTACGTGTGAGTATAGTTTATTCTTATGTGTGGGTTAACGCAAATTAACTATATGTATATATAAAATGAAGGGGCAATTTGGTTGACATAATTTATCGAAAACTTGTGAATTAAAGCATATAAAAATGTCTAAAAGTTGTTCTAAAAACAAAAACTTGTTCATCTTCCACATTTAAATAAAACATTACCCGTCGTCATCAAGCATAGTCGAAACTCATAAACTTTAATCTAATCGCAAAATATAAACCCAAACCCCAAATTTCAAAACTCTAACAACCGTTTAAACCTCATAAAATTTCACCACCGTCAAACTTTATCTCGATTCCTTGTCAGTCGTTGTATGTGCGAATGTCTTTCCTCAAAAAAGATAGGCTGTAAAGAAAAGAAAAAAATGGGACGACATAAAAGTATTTTCGTCAACCTTTTCTGATAAAGGTAGTTTCTACTACTTTTTTTTTCTTGAACCTATGTAGTTTCTACTTTTACTCTAAAGAAAGCCTTCTAAGTATTATATACTAATAAAAGAAATGCTCCAACATAATAAAAAAATAAGAAAATTATATGAAGTAGGTATTCTATTAAGAGAAAATTATAAAAATAACTTTTTTTTATAAATTTTTAAATATCAGTGTTACTATTATAACTACTTTTATTTATAGACTAATAGCACACTACAAAAAATGGGTGTGTTATATCACTTTTTTAAATATTTACATTAGTTATAATTGATACAAACAGATATTGCATCACTCGTAAAACTGACAATGAATGTGGTGATGCAAATAATTAACATTAATTAGTTATTAATTGAGACATATATTCTCTTTTATATTAGATAATTAGCAATGTGGGACAAAGTACAAAAAGTGAGTTACATTAGTTTTGACCTGATATAAAATTTATATCATTTTTAAATAATGTTAACCAAAATTACTGATTACATCTATTCTTTTAATGATGTAAATTCATAATTTTATATGGATTCTATTAATGTGATGTAAACTAATATAAATTTATATCAATTTTATTGAACTGAAGTTAAATAATCAATATAAACATCATTTCTGATAATTAATGTTAAATCAAATATTTTATATCATTTATAAATAAAGTAACTTAAAATTAATATCATTTAGTTTTGTGATACAATTTAAATGATATAATTCATCTCTCTTTTTTTTGTAGTGGCAAAGTAATGACAGATGATAGACTAATAACAGACTGAATGCATACTTTTGGCATATTGATTGATTTTACAATAAAATGTAAATTATTGACAGGTTAATTGCAGACTAAATACAAATTACTGGAGAAACGACAGATTGAAAAAACACTAATAAACCATTTCTATATATTATTTTTGGAAAAATCATACTTCATAATAAAATTGATAAATACATCATTTCAAAAATTATATCTACATACTATTTCATAAAACGGAGTTACTTCTTTCTGTTTCCCCGTAAAAATGTGGTATATGTGTTTTTCAAACATCGGGTTATGCTAGTTCTCAAAACGGGCAGGTATCATTACGACATTACCAATTTTGCGAGCTAGCTAGACCGATTCTGGTTAAGTCTTACCAGATAACTACTCCCGGCTCTCATCTGATCTTTAATTATAGAACCATACAGCTTTTGAAAAAACATCTTTGATGATCCTTTTCGTGAACGAGTTTAGAGAAGTGCAAATAATGAATGAATTTTTTTTTGACATGTGTTTTGACACGATTTTTTTTATCTCTTAGTGATCAAATTTAACAATCAAATAGAAGTTGTCATTCAAAGTTATGGCAAATATATGATAGAGACATGTATAGAAAGATGGGTAGAACAAAGAAACATACCATGGCAATGATAATGAAGTGATGATCCAAAGAAGCCATAGATACTTCTGTCTCTCTCACTCCAATTTCTCCGCAGTTTCAACGCTTCGTTTACATATACGTCGCTACTATAAATTAATAATTAACAAATCACAGTTCTAGTTTAAATAAGAAATCCAAGATATCAAAAGATAATATATTCGTTTAGTTAGGTATGCATATAAAGAATTATAGATATATATGACTAGTATAGTGATGAGCATGCTTACGACTAATGAAGAATGATGGTGGTGATAATAAAACAAGAACATAGAACTTCCAGGTTCATTGAACCTGGTTGCCTTTTTGTTCGCCCACAAAGGCGCGAAAGGAGGGAAAAAAACAAGAGTGTGGCTTGAGATTTATATATAGACACGACATGTTTAGTTTCTCCTTCATTTATTTTCTTTAAGAAAATACAATTAATTTACTATTTCTTTCTCTCATATTGTAGCTTTTGTTTGGTCTCTCATATCAATAATTATATTCTTTTCAACTTAGAAATATCCTTAATTTTCTGTATAATTAAAATCTACCGTTGATAAAACATATGAAATACGGAACACTAATTCAAACGAATATCCACTTTTAGTATAGTATCCATTTGTATTGCTGTGATTTCGATATTATTAAATTTTTTCATTAAAGAAAATATAAAATATGATTATGTATATATAAATATCACATATGGATATATATCTATGAAATGGACTAACTCATGATTTTTTTTTTATAAAAAAAACCATAGTAAGGGAAGAACTTGAGAATCTGATTCTCTGGATTCATCAGTTCAGAAGTTTTTTGTGCTGATCAAATTTTAGCATGGCCTACATAATTCAAGGTTAATTCATTATTATACCCGTATTACTAAAATATTAAAAGTAGCAATAAAAGAAAATTTCACTTTGAATAGTTAGAATTTTCGGAAGATGACCGACCTACGATATAATCAAAGTTCAAACAGATAAAATATACAAAACTGACACGTTGTTGAATTCATTACACACAACTTGTGTTAGGTCTTTTAGTTAGTGCTTCTTTTTCTTCTTTTTTCAAGGATTGACGTTGCTCATTTTTTTTATTAATGTTAATAGTTAATTAGTATTAGTAATCTAACTATGTATATTTTGCTGTTACTTAAGTTAGTAACATTGGATTCCACGAACGTCAAAGTTCAACAATGTCAATATGTTATATGTAACACGAATATGGCTACAATTGTTCGTGTTGCATTTTTTTTGTAAAATCATCGAAAATAGTCAAAATTTATTTATTTTTGAAAATTTGTCAAGATTTGGTTCAGTCAAAAAGTTGTTCATTTTGCACAATTTTATGTTCCACTAAAACTTGTTTGATTTATAGACAAGTTCATTCATTTTTTTAAAAAAAATTTGAAATTTCACTAGAAACAATATCCTGCATAAGTGTAGTTTTTTTCGTATAACAATATGCAAATGTTCTTTAACATTAAAAAAAAAAAAAGACAATACGCAAATGAAATGGAGTTAAATAAAACAGGAAATGTAACACTTGAGCCGACAAAGCTTCGTGTAAAAGTAGATGACGGTGTCCGTTCAATCCTCAATTGATCACGTGCCCACCAAACCTAACAAGTTGTTTCCCTCTCTGAACCAAGTTGAGAGACATGAGTATTGACTCTCATGTCTTTAGTTTTGACAAATTTCTGTAGTTTTTAGGGTTCAAGTTCGATTATTTTAGAAAATTGTAAAACAGGGCCCAAATTTATAAAAACATCATACAAGAACTGGGGCTGTCTAAGGAGAGATGGAAGAAAATATAATTAACAAAAAAAAAAGAACATTAGGTTAAACTCCATTTGATCAATACCTCGCTACTCAAAACATAAAGTGAACACAACGAGAACTAAACAAATCATAGAATAATAAAGGCTTTTTATATAATTTAGAAACTCACATGTTGCTGAACCCAAAATGCAAGTATGTATATCGATCAGGTTTCGTAATCATGGCAAATATATTGGGCCCTGAAAGCCCAATAACATGAGTTCTAGTATTTTAGAAAAAAATCGATGCTGATATGCGTTAGTAGCAAGGCCCATATACAACTAATAATTTTTCAAAAACTTGGTGAGAGATTTGTTGCTTGCGTTGAATTGAATCCCATCCACATACACACAGAAAAGCCAACGCACGACTCTGTGTTTACTCATTATCTTACTCTTGCCTCGATCAATGGCTCCAATCACACCATTTCACCGTACACCTCTAAAATCTCCACTTCTCTCACGAAACCATGCTATTAAACATCTCCTCCTCTCCAATCTCTCATCGAAACCCTTACTTCCTCTCCAATTTCAGCAACCCCACTTCGTACCTCCCTCGGCGACCCAAAACCCATCTCTCAAAATCTTATCTTTTCCCAAATCTCCCTGCTTTATCGAACCAGAGCCTCAAGAACAGAGTTTCGTTCGGAAACCAGAGGTGCCCAGATGGAGAACGGGTCGGTTTCAGGCCAAGAGCTCTCCCTGGGATCGACTTGGGAAGCTTCGAATCAGTTCTTGAAGCCACCGCTGTTCTCACCGCGATCATCGTCGTCCACGAATCGGGTCATTTCCTCGCGGCTTATCTTCAGGGGATCCATGTGAGTAAATTCGCGATTGGGTTTGGTCCGATTCTAGCTAAGTTCGATTTCAACAAAGTCGAGTATTCGCTTAGGGCTTTTCCTCTGGGTGGGTTCGTTGGTTTCCCTGACAACGATCCCGACAGTGACATCCCTATCGACGATGAGAATCTGCTCAAGAACAGACCGACTCTAGACAGATCGATTGTAGTTTCAGCAGGAATCATCGCCAATGTGATCTTCGCTTACGCCATAATCTTTGTCCAAGTGTTGTCCGTTGGTTTGCCAGTACAGGAAGCGTTTCCAGGTGTTCTTGTCCCCGAAGTTAAGACCTTTTCCGCTGCTTCCCGTGATGGATTGCTTTCCGGTGACGTAATCCTCGCCGTGGACGGCACTGAACTGTCTAAAACCGGCCCTGACGCCGTCTCTATGGTTGTTGACATTGTTAAAAGAAACCCAAAGAGTGATGTGCTGTTTAGAATCGAGAGAGGGAACAGAGATTTCGATATCCGGGTCACGCCGGATAAGAGCTTCGACGGGTCGGGGAAGATCGGTGTACAGTTGTCTCCGAATGTTAGAATCACTAAGGTGAGACCGAGGAACGTCCCGGAGACATTTAGGTTCGCCGGGAAGGAGTTTATGGGGCTGTCGTCTAATGTCTTGGACGGTCTAAAGCAAACGTTCTTCAACTTCTCGCAGACAGCGAGTAAAGTAGCAGGCCCTGTGGCAATCATCGCGGTGGGAGCAGAGGTGGCGAGATCAAACGTCGACGGGCTTTACCAATTCGCGGCGTTGCTGAATATCAACCTCGCGGTGATCAATCTGCTGCCATTACCGGCTCTTGACGGTGGAACGTTGGCATTGATATTGTTGGAAGCGGTTAGAGGAGGGAGGAAGCTTCCTGTAGAGGTGGAACAAGGGATAATGTCTTCAGGGATCATGCTTGTGATATTCCTTGGATTGTTTCTCATCGTCAAGGACACACTCAGTCTTGATTTCATCAAAGAAATGTTGTAGTTATTCTCTTTGCCAAATGAAAAAGTGTTTTGAGTAAGGAAGAGAGAAACGTTAGTGTGAAGAAGTTGAGAGTTTAGATCAAACAAAACAAAATTTGGAATCTAATACAAAAACACAAGGTGATGAATTGATGGTTAATATCCATGTAATATCTCTACTCAGTTATCCACTATAAAAAATGTATTTTTTTTTTTTTTGTATTTGGGAAGAAAAATTATCGAAATTGTTGTGGTTTTGCCTGATTATCAGGACACAAACCGTTAAGATAGCGATGCTCCGACCAAATGGCCAAGTTATGCCTCGTTGCCTCTCTCAATACAAGCTTGTGACACCGAGTTTGCATCTCAAAGTTAGTTTAGATAGGTGTGTTGGTATATGGAAATTGGAATTATCAACTAGTAGTATTGGTGGATTAATAAGAGTAATCAATTAGTTATCATTTTTGTTAAGAGGAGGTGCTAAGTTAAATACTTGCATATAAGTCAAAACTATTTTTTGTCAAAATTTGTAGATAAACTTGATGTAGTTAGCGTTGTATTTTTAAATCAAATCTTATTTTTGATTTTTTAGCTAATCGGTGTTTAAGAACAAAATATTTCCATATATAAATTAATTTAAATGCATTTGATCACTATTAAGTTTTATCATTTCTAAATTTTATATACAATTTTTTGATGTAAACATATATTTCTTTTTAATTATAATTTTAAACTTTAAATTATATTTCGAATGTAGTATGTTAATTCAGTTAGTGGTAGTTCAAGTTGTATAGGGAGTAACAAAAAATAACTTGAAAAGTTCTGAATGCTGAAAATTATCTCATAAACACACCCTCTCAACATTTTTAAGAGTTCAGCCAAAACAATAATTATTTCTGAGTATTTTTAGTTGATCATTTAAAAAAAATATTTTTATTTGTTGGATATTTTTTAATTTGGCATGATTTTAGATCTGCCCCCTTCTCTCGTCCCTTAGAGTTTAGCCTGCTTGTCTTCTATTTTTGATGGCCACCCCTTGCTGCATCGTCTGCATGACGTACATGCCATATAAGTATTAGTTATCCATTTGATTAACCAGTGTAACAAAATTTATATTTTAAAATGTATTATTATATGTAAAAAATTTATAGGTTGGTCATACAGCTAACCAGATTATTTTTATTATAAGGTTAAAATTTAAAATATTCAGTATTTAAAATTTAAATATTCATTATTTAACATTTAAAAAATATATATATGAATCCGATAAAGCCACGCGTTGTATGTTTATATTAAAATCTTTTAAAAGATAAGATTTTAGCCAATTATAATGTTTAACAACAAATTATTTCCAAATGTAATTAGTTTTAATGCTTCAAATCCTATTTAAATTTACTTTCTCAGATTTTTTATAAACTATTTCTTTTTTTGGTGTAGTAAGACATTATTTATCTTTTAGTTATAATTTATATTTTAATTTTTTTAAGTATATTGTTCAAAATTCTATAATTTATAAATAGAAAACATTAAATGTATTCACATTTAACTAACTATTTTTCAAAAGTTATAGATAAATCTAATGTATCCAAACGTCTTATTTTAAAACAAAAATCTTATCTGTAAATATTTT